TTTGAAGTCCGGTTGTAGTCTCCGTACTGTTCGTACCTTTTGTACGCCTGATTCCGTTGCGACGTAGTTTTCTCCGGTTTCGGAAACTTTTCCGAGCCAGATGCATTTCTGCATCCGTAGGTCTGCTTTTGGAAGTTTCTTGTGTTGTGGTGGAAGGTAAAGTAGTGTCTCGCCAAATTCGCAGATTGCTCGCTCGTAGTTTCTTCCCCAGCGGCGTTCAAAGCTTGTGTAGCCGTCTGAGTGAATGACGTAGCGATTTACCGTCCATGCTGCATGTCGTACTATCCAAGGTAGTAGACAGTGCTTTGTGGACATCGTCATGCTGTAGTTGCTTTCAACCTGAGCTTTGACGACGCGGATTTGTCCGAGAAGTGTTCTATGTAGTCGCTCAACGCTTCCTTGACTGTTGCTGCTGTAGGATGGTGAATGTCGTACAGTCATTGAGCCGACTTTAGATGCTGTTGCTTTTAGTAGTGCATTGAGTGTGTCTTCGTTGTCGCTTTGTAGTATGCCGTGTGTTCTTCCGCATTCAAAGATGAATGCTTGTAGGTTGTTGATCATGTAGTCCATCATTGATGGTTTGTCCGGAACCAATACCGCCATGCACAGTTGTGTAGTAACATCAACTGCTGTTAAGACTGGTATGGTCTTCGGATCTTGTTGTGATTTGATGTAGGCAAAATCCACTTGGATGATGGGTTGTCGTGATTGTTGTTTCTTGTAGTTGTCCTGGCGTCCTTTGCCTTGAACGCAAATTGGACACCAATTTCTGTATGGTAGGTGTGTCAAGTTGTGTTCTGCTATTTGTTGTGGAGTGGGCTGCTGCGGTTGTCGTAGTCCTCTTGCTCTGTGTGCTTCATGATGCTCGTGTTGTTGTTCCTCATCGTGGTTCTCCTGGATGTACTCGTAGTCTTTCTTCACGGTGAACCTTGTTGTTCCTTTCCATTGAAATGGTAGTGCTGCGTTGCCCATGACTGTCCAGTCATCTTTGCGTTGCGAAACTTCTCCAAAGTGGTTGTGAGTGATTGCAGTTCTGTGAGGCTCAAGTGTGCTGATTGGTGGATATCCTGGTCCATCTGTTGGAGTGAATAGAGTTGTTCTAAGTGTTGTGTGCTGTGAGTGGTCTGTGGATTGTCTCCTTTGGTTGTGTGGTGTCAAGATTTGTAGAAGGTGCTGCTTTAGGTCTGCATATCTTTTGTGGTGCTCGTAGTTGGATCTTTGATCTGGTTGGTGGTGTGTCCATTAGCCGTTGTGGTTGTGAGCTCTGCCTTGTTGGTGTGGTCTTTGATGTTGCTCTGCGTGTAGGTGTTATCTTTCTTCTGAATCTGGTTTCTCCAGTCGAGTTGTCACCTTCTAGTCTTCGTTGTAGTTCTTGCTTGGAAAGTTGTGTTGGGTTCTCTTGTAGTTGTTCTTGCTCTTGCCCTTGTCTGTTGATGATGGTTAGTCGCCAATCATCTAGTTCTCCTTCAGGTATTGGGCAACCGCTGTTGTGTGGTGTGAATAATGCTTTGCGTGGTCGTTTGTGTACTCTGACGGCGTAGCCACCATCAAGTTTCCAGTAGTGAGTGTTTCCACCAAGGATCTGTCGTAGTCCTTGGTCTGTGTGGGTGAGTGGTGCAATTTGTTCTTGTTGTTGCACTGTTTTCTCCGTAGGTTGAATCACGGCAATGGATTTTCCATTGTCTGTAGTCATTGGGTAGATGTCGAATCCTGTAGGGATGTCGATCTTCTCTGCTCGTAGGTAGAAAAGTCCTGGGTGTCTTATAAGGTGTGCTTGTTGTTGTCCATGTGTGATGGTGCAGTGTCGTGGAGTGAAGTCAAGTCCATATCCTCTATCAAGTAGTCTTGATGCACTGAAAATTGGATACTTCACATCACAAACGTAGTAGGGTATCATGATCCTGAAGTTGTCCTGCTTGTAGGGAACGTACTTGATGCCGTAGACAGGAATCTTCTTGTTTGTAACCGTGTAGAGTTGTGGAACCGATTCTCCACAAGGTCGTAGCGGTAGGTCTGGTGCGTAGTCCTTCGGGCAAACATGTGTAGCTGCTCCTGAGTCGATCAACAGGTGGTGGTATGACTTGAAGTTGGAGTACATGATGTAGTGTGTGATAGTGTCCTCAATCTTCTTGTTCCTTTGTTGTTGTCTTGCTGCTGCTACGTCAAAGTGTGGCTGTGTGGTGTCTTCTTGTAGGAATTGTTGAAAGCTCTTGCTGTGGTCGTTCCATGATGTTGTGTGTGTTGTTCTCTTGCCAAGTAGTGATTTGGATTTGTGCTTGTGTAGTCGTGAGTTTGCTTGTCTGATGTGTCCAATGGTAAGGTGTGACTCGTTGATGCCTCCAATGTAGTTTGTTGTGTCCTCATAGCTGTTGTCATTCCAATCCCAGCTGTTGTCAGTCGTAGTCGTTCCAGTTCTCCTCCATGTAGTTCACCTCGTGTTGTCCTTCTTCTCCTTCGTAGTACCGGTCCCAAGTGTCGCTCACATCCTGAGATAGTTCTTCATTGTTGTCATGATCTGCTTGTTCTTGTTCTAGTGGATGTAGTTCTTCTCCTTCTCCTATGTGCCATATTGGCACTCTGCAGTCTTGTGTCTAGTGGCCAAGCTTGCCACATCGATGGCATGTTGTGTAGTTGTTGTTTCCTTTTCCTTTTGATTTGCTGTAGTTTCCTTGGCCTTTGTAGCCTTTGCTTGATCCATATCCTTTGAGTCCTGAGTAGCCTTTTCCTTTGCTCTTGTTGTATCCTCCTTTGTTGTAGTTTCCTTTGCTGAATCCTTTGTAGTGGCCTTTGCTTCTGCACTTGCCTTTTCCTTTGTTTCCTTTGTAGGATCCTTTGCCTCCATATTTGCTTTTGCCTTTGTAGTTTCTTCCTTTCCTCCAAATGTTGTCCACGTCCATGGGTGCTGTTGCACCATTGTAGTTTGTGCCAACTGCTGAGCTCGCTCTTGAGAATGCAGATATGGTCTTGTAGTAGTCCAGGATGACAACTCTGATCTCGTTGTAGTTCGTGATCTGTCCAGCACGTAGTTGGAGATGTTGTTGAAGTGCTCCTTTGGTCTTGTTGAGTAGTACTGCAATCTTCACTCCATCTGGTAGTGCTGTGCCGTTGTCTTTCTCGTAGCGGTTGATGTCATACTCCCACTGTAGGAATTGTTCTTCAAATTGCGCTTCATTGAATGTAGGTTCCAGTCGTTTGGTGAGGTAGCCAACACTGCGTGTTCCTACTGGTAGGCTGAGCCTGTTGTGCAACAGCCGTAGTGTTTCACACCCATTGGCATTGTAGCGGTTTTGTCTGACCACTGTAGCTGCTGCACCTTGGCAGATGTTGATGAGGATGTAGTGTAGATCTCGTGAGAGGTCTACTGCTTTTGCTGCCTGTGTAGGGTCGCGTACGTGGGCTCTGATGTCTGCATCTTCAATTTGTCTGGTAGCTGCTTGTGCTAGTTGTAGTACCATGTCGAAGTCTCGGTCGATGAGTCCGAGGTATGCTTGTAGTTTGAACAGCCACTCTTCGTACTGTGAGTAGTCACCAGTGAAGAGCGGTGGTGGCAGTTTGTATTTGTGTAGCCTTTGGACGTCTTCCTGCTCCTGTGTTGTTCCCGTAGTTGTGGCTCCTATTGTCTCCTCTGCTGTGGGCCCGTTGTCTGCTCCTGTAGTTGGTTGTGCTGATGCTGCTGCTGGTTCTCCTGACATGTCGTAGTAGTTGGGCATGTGGTTGCCTGTGCAGTTGTAGTACTTACTGCTGTTACTGGAGCTCCCCTATGTTTAGGATCTCAGCTCCGCTACTACGTTAAAATACGTCGATACTTTACTACAAGTGCAGGTGTTGTTTGTGTTGTCACAAACACAAATGTAGTTAGGCAGCATGCACTCTTGTCCTGGTAGACTCAAGGCCTGCGGTCGGGTAGTGTACATCATGCATGCACAAGGGACAAGTAGTGCAGCATGATATTTAACAGAGAGAGAGAGAGAGAGAAAGAGAGAAACAGAGAAAGAGAGACACAGAAAGACAGAGAGAGAGAGAGAGAGAGAGACTAGGTCCTCCAGTAGAGAGGGAAGAATTAGGGTACCCTTTTTCTGTAGAGGGGCGTGGACAGGAAGGAGACAGGCAGACAGAAAGAGACAGAGAAACAGAGAGAGAGAGAGAGAGATAGAGAGAGACAGAGAGAGACAGAGAGAGGGAGATTCAGGAGGAGCAAAGGGAGGGACAGAGGACGACAGAACAGACGAGGGAGACAAGGGAGAGAGGAAGAAGGAGAAAGGGGAGAGGACAATGTCGGCGGACTGAGCCGGAGGCTCTAAAGTATTTGCAACAGTGATAGGTTCCAACTTGAAAACCAACAGTGGAACATACAAAATATTTGTTTCGGGGAACCCCCAACAATGGGTGGCATTGCTGTGGTTTCCCTTTACAACCCCACAAATAGGGTACTCTCCAAAATCTCCAAACAAGGACACTCCCAGTCCTCCATTGTCTTTCCGCCTCCTGGAAAAATGCGTGCTTGTCGACGAAATGATCGCAACAATGACATCATCCTGCAAGAGGAGCTTTCAATGGAACAAACTTACGCTTCCAACCTGACGTGAAAGTCACACGGTGCCCACTCTGCCGTGTGTTGGGCTAGTTACTGGCTAGTTCTGGAGCAAGAATCCACACGTCATCGCACCCAGTGGATATATTGGTGGTGGATTTCAAAGTGGAATCACCCTCCGCAGGCCACCCCCTACGCTCGCCGGCACCAATTAAGAATCAAGCCAGCAACGACCAGCAGAGGGTCAGAAGCACAATCCCTTGGCGAAAGTGAAGGAGTTCAACGACCAGCACCCGAACAGGCACTTTACAACCCTTGGCTTTTGGCAGCACAAAACGTTGTTTTGGCAGCCCCCTACCAAATGAACAGAACCAAAAAACCCAAGGAACCTAAACGCTTGATCCAACAACAGCGCAGTGCACCAAGCCCCTTGGGTGCGATTGAAACTCTGATCGCAGGTGCGAGGCGCAGAAGCTGGACAATGTCAACAGCCTGCCGGGGCGGGATGGAAGCCACGACTTTCGCAGGGTTGCTGCAGCATATATATATATATACATACATATATAAATATACATAATATATATACATATATACATATATACATAATATATATATATATATATACATATGTATAAATATATAAATCTATAAATATATGAGACACCTGCGATGCATGAGGCGTGATTCCTGATTGGATTGGCTAACCCAGTGCTTCCAGGTACCACTATAGGTATTTGAACCATCTGTGGGTTTTACATGAGGAACCGACCATACTAATGCCAACTGTTTGTTTGTTTGTTCTCGTTTGGGACTCTTTCAAGGACTCCCGTGGTCACCCATGTTTCCCTACTATGCTGGTGGCTTGCCGGGAAGCGCTGGGAAACCCACGAACCCGGCTGTGGACTTGCCATCTGAGCGCCCGCCTGGAGGGGTTCTTTCTCACAGAGCGGGGGCAGCACCTGCGGCTCTGGGGCCCGGGCCCGGTGGTGAAGCTGGGAATCCGCTTTTCTATGGGTCCGCTTACTGAACATAGGGAGACCATGGGAAACCCCTGTTGGACACATCAGGGATCCCCCCAGGTCCCAGGTTTACCTGAATATTGACTCTTGAATCGAAAGAAGCGTTCCCTTATATGGATTGCTAATGAGATGGCTTTGTGGACCTCTGCTTGCTTCAACAGCCTCCGTTTGGTTCACCTTAGGACCTTTCTGGAGGCCAAAGGCTGGATGCTTCAACACACCGCGCCCATTCCTGCCTGGAAGGAAGGGCTGGGATCTCAGACTCACGCGGTTGATTTCCTTCACCTTTTGTAACACAAACTGCAGCATAGCACCTCCTAGGCTTGCCATGGCTGGGATCAACCATGTTTCCTAGCTCCCCACAAATTGCAACTAAAACAAGCATACAATATGGTAAAATCGTATGGCTGTCTGCTACGGTTCCCACTAGGCATTGCAAAGGGACTTCTATGCCCCTTGGTTCCGCAGTAGGGGGTCGCAAGCGCAAAAACCACAAGTACGCGAAAGCAACATCTACGGCATGTTTTGCTCCAAAACCAATGTTTCGAATCCACACAATGACAAGTCACTTGTTTTCAACATACGCAGAGCCGAGAGCGCGCACAGATCGTAGCAGAAGCAAAGCGACGACAACCAAGGCCCACTACCCCCTGGGCAGCAGCAGCCCCTGCAAAGCCTGAACGATGCCTGTCCTTCGCAGTAGCTGGGCCTCAGTCATGGCAAAAGCTGTGCTCAAAACGTAGCCTTCCTGATGCTTAACAGTGCGGTGGTGCACTCCGGCCCGCCAAGCCTAGTTTAAAACAACTCCGGCCCGTGCAAATGTGTGAGTGCAAACCAACTTTGCTTCACCTCCTCCCTGTTGAAAGTCGCTGGGAACCCCTGTCAAACTGGTGAACCTGGGAGGGCGTGCCATTGTCCCAGATCCACCACTACCCGCCTCAGGCCATCCTGAGGCTCCAGCCACCACCAGGCCCGACTTCGCACCCAACCTCATCTGTCGACTGGCAGCTCTGGCTTGCCAAGGACAAGCTCAAGAACTTCGAGGTGACGCTGACAAAGCTCCAAGTGCTTGTCACCTCTTGTGGGCAAAACACAAGATGAGGTCACCCAAAATAAAATGGAGTACCTACAGTACGGAAAAGACACCACTCCAAATTCCTTTCGACTCCTCCAAAGCCTTGCCCTGACCCTGGTTTCGAGCGTGTCATGCCGAATGCTGAGGCCGGCGCGGCTTGTACTCTGGGCCCGGTGAAAACAAGACCTGGCGCGCCAGGTCATATCAGGGTCGATCACGTGGCTGTGAGCAGTACGACTGCACAGCTCCAGATCTGAGGCGCGAGGGCTTCTGGGTGAAGCATCTGCACGAAGGTGCTGCTAGCCCATTGATGTGCAGCGTGCGTGCGTCACGTGTGCCGCGAATAGTACCGCATCCTTTCACATCATTGGTGTCGAAAAATGGCATGTGAGTATGCCACCAAGGGCTGTTAACGCATGCTTCACAAATCTAATTCACTCAACGACTCAACATGTCAGCAGCTGTTTAGCTTCCCCCTGCTGCAACACCGCCTCCAAAGTCTGGCGAACATGTTTGGCACTAAGACACACCGCCGCTTAGGTTCCTCGACCTAGGCTAAACATGCTTTTGAAGCGCCCTGCAGCCTGGCAGGCTTATGCCACATGCGCGTGTAGCTGCGTAGCTGTGTAGCTCCATATTCCCTACTGGCAACGAGCAAGCAAAAAGGTCCACCATTCCGTGGTAGCTCAGAAGTAGGTCCTAAGAGAACTGGTGTGGACATACCTTGAAGCAATGTCACTCCCTACCCCTGGCAAGTAAAGAGTACTTTTGTCAACCCAAACGACGCAGGCAGGCGGATCCCTACTGTTGGCCAAATCCCCCCCTCTCTCGCCGCCTGACTGAACAAAACTGCAAGATCTCCCCGCCCCGCCTGCTGCAAGGCTTGCAGAAGCTTCGTGGCCTCTGCATGCCTCTTGCAGAGCAGCAACGCCGCAAAGAGCTTCCTGAGCGCATGTGAGTGAGTGAGTGCTACTTATAGTCGTTGCATCTGGAGGAAAAGCCCTCAATTCAAAAGGACTGAATGTCCAGAGATTCTCGTTCTGCGGCTCAAAGATGTTTGCAAGGGATCAAATGTCAACCAACTGGAACTCACTTCCTGAGTGGAGTAGCCAAAACAAGTTGATGTTGTTTTGCCACTATATACAATGGTCTTCCCATATAAAGTCCAGAAACTCAGAGAGGGAGATTCGGAACAGGCGAGCTTGCCAAGTTGCTTTTTGCAAATAAACTACTTTCCTGGCAGTAGGGATCCTTCCTTCTCTTCAGACATCCGCAAAATCCGGAAGAAAAGGTTGATTCTTGTATAGAGAAGCATCGGTGAAAATAGGAATCAGCCTTGAACCTTTGGTAGCGTCCGCACTACACATTATCAAAGCAAACAACAAAAACAACGCGCATGCCACGGTGAAGATATGTGAAGATATGGCATGGTTGGTAAGCCCCAAACAGGGTACCAACAGGGTACCATCAACGCCACATTGCCAAACAACATATCTGAGAACAGGATTCATGTCCGGTTCGGTGTGCCCAAACCTGATGAGAAGGCTGCCAGGTGTCTCCAGCAGCGCGAGGACTCCTTTCTGCGTCACATCTTTGGGCGCTTCGTCCTCCACGAGAAGAATTCGGAAAATATTGCCTCGCATCGAAGCTCAATGGGCCGTGGGTTGGGAGGGGAGGTGGGGGTTGTGGGGTTCATGCGAGCATGAGTCACAGGATCCAAACCTCTTCTCCAGTCCTCCCCGAATCCCGAGCTAACTACAACCCTCTCTTGCCTGGTTTCCTTCAGAGGGGTTTCATTTGGTTTAGGGCTTCCCCCCAAAACAATGGCTACTTGTCCCTTGAAGTTTTCCATTGAATCACCCCCCCCCCCCAAAAAAAGAAAAAAAACGGCCCTCAAAAAAGACAAGAATCATGGGGCGGGGGAGAGGGAGAGGGCGTGGAGAAGCCCTAAATAAGGCCTTAATAAGGGGGCTTATTTGGCCCCCCCCTGGCTGCCTTTAAGGGGAAACCACATGGAAACCACGATCTTTGAGGTTCCCAATTTTAAGACAAATCCAAATCTGCATTGTCCAGGACTTGCCCCCCAAATACCAGGTCATGTTGGGCAGATCTTTGAGAGGCCTGCTGGTGGAACCAAAGACTAAAACCTGCGCAACCCTAGCTCCAGAATTTTTGGCCATACCCAATTGACTAGGTTCTCCAGTAGAGAGGTTGGAATCAGGGTACCAACTTTTTCTGGAGTCTATTTTACTAGGGGAACCCTCCCCCAAAAAAGACACGGTAAAAGGGCACTCACTACTAGTTAAGAAGCATACCCGAATTTGAAAAGCGCCCGCCCCAGCCCCATGAAACAATTACCCCTGCACCTAGGCCATGGATTCCGCCGAGCCACAGCCGTCCGCCTGTACGCCGGAGAACCGCACGAGCTCGGCAATGGCCGAGAGCCTGTCCGCGTCCTGGTCTCTCCTGACGAGTGAAACTCCAGCTGGAACCCATTTGTTACGTTTATCTCGTTTGCCCATTGACTCCAAAGCCGGAGTGGACTGGTCCAAACAAGTCCAAACTTTTCTTTGTTTGCCACCAACATGGTCCTCTTGTTGGTGCTCAGGGAATGATAGGGTTTGGGCATGAACCGTTTTGGGATTCCCGAAAGGAAACCAAAGGGAATGGTTTATAAGGGTCATTCCCCTCATTCCCTGCTGAGAATCAGCAACCGATTTGTCCACCTCTTTTGCCCATTGGCTCAAAAACTGGAGTGGACTGGCCAAAAACAAGTCCAGATTGGCAAAACAAAGTCCCAACTCTTCATTGTTAGCCGCTAAAATGATCCTCTTCCTGGTGCTCTAAACACTTGTTGTTTGCCACTAAAGTGGTCCAAGCCCGGAGTGAGAAGCCAGTGACAAGCACTGGCCCTGCCTGAAGAAGAGAGCGAACAGCCGAAGCATGGGCACCAGCCTCGACAACTAGTCAGTGAGTCAGCCGCTTCCATCTGGCTAGGCGCCAATCAGTCTTACAAAGCCCCAACTACTTAGAATGGGGTGGTCGGATACTTTGAAAAACCAACATGAGTCATACTGGCAGGAGAAAATGATTAGCAGCTGTGGACACCGTGGCCTTGCAAAAGCAAGGGGGAAACCTGTAGGAATCCCCAAGCAACGCGGGTATAAGTGCTGTTTGGGCATTGTAATAGGATTGTTTGGAGGTTTCCCATAGAAGGTGTATAGATGTGCACATGGAGCTGGGTCCCAACTAAGGGGGTCCGAACACATCAAACACAAAATAAGCTCCTTTGGGTTTTCTTGTGAGAGAATGCAAAATACGATAGCACTCTTTTGTTGCTTTTTTAGAGGGAAACCACAAGGAAAACCAAACTCCGATTTGGGTGGTTCAAATCCTCACAAAAAAGGCACCCAAATTTAAAACACAATCTGAGTTGATTGTGCCAGATGAGTACCTCCGATTGGCCCACTCCGAAGATCAAGCACCCACATGATGTAGGTTTTTCTAAAAGAGGGGACACCTGAGCCAAAATCAAATCCTGGGTAGATGAATGTCACTATGGGATAATCCCAAGCAACAATTCTCAAAGCGCGGCTCTGGGTAGTCAACTTTGATTATCGATCGGCTTTGATTTTGACTCACCTGTGAATGGCAGGTGTTCCCTTTCTTCAATTCTGATTCAGAACCGCAACAAGGGGGCCATGGGAAGGCCATGTTCCGAAATGGTCCTTCATGATGTCAGGAGTTGGCTGCAATGGATCCTGCCATAGCTGCAAATCTGCCAAATGCCATATATGGCGTTGGTCTTCCTTTGAACGATGTATTTCTTTCAAATCCTTGGCTTTCTCTTGGACAACCACATAACAACAGAATCACACGCAAACAACCACAAGCAAAACACAAACAGTGAAGCTTGGAACACGCAGCTTGACCCTTCACTTCAACACATTCCATCAGGCCACTCGGCCCCCAAAATCGAACACATCCAAGTGCCGGGCGCGTGGAAAACGAATTTGGCCTTCTGCGGAGGCGGAAGCACGCCGCTTACCTGGCAGGGATGTGAAACATCGCCGTGTCTTCAAGGCCCCATTCCTTTTGCTATGGACCCTGAAGAGGCACATCACCCTACCAAACCCGAACCAAGGCCCCTATCTGAGGCCCAATTCCTTTTTCCATGGACCTCCAAGAGGCATATAACCCCAGTAAACCCCCAGGCCCTTAAACCGCGGATTCACTGGACAAGTTCGGGGGTTCCAAGTGGGGGGGGTTCCCCAGAAGGTCTCCTGCCGTGGCAACACATCGGGCCTTGCTGATGTCAGCGTAGCGCTTGTCGAACACCTGCGAGCCAACCCCCACCCGCTGGAGTCCGAATCCCCCCACCCGTCACCTGCGTGAGGGCCTCCCTGGTTTGTGGTCCAAATTTACCCCAAGGAACTTCCGAATGGAGGAGAGGGGCTCCATTCCCAAATTCCGTTCCCCAACTCCATTTGCTTATACTTCACAAAAAGGTTCTTTTTGGAAACATCAAAATAATTTGCAGGGGTCATCCCACCACCTGGTTTATTTTCCATTTACCCACTAAGCGACTCAATGGATGTGAACCGGCTCTTGTAGGGGACAGAACAATTCGTCTGGCACCTATACCCGACATTGCGCGTCTGGACCCCAAAATGAGCTTGCCTTTTTTGAGGATCCCCCTTTTTCGGTGGCTTGAAAGGAAAGCCAAAGAGAAAACCCGCCCCACTTCCGGCAGTTCCAAGCCTAACACAAGACACAGCCCAATTCCATTTTTGCCCCCTCCCCGGGCGGTCTTTTCCATATTTTTCCATTTATCAAGCCTACCCTCAACAACCTATACCCTCAAAAACCACAACCCCAGTGCTCAAAGCCCTCAAAACAAGGCTTCGCCGTGCGGTTTTCGAATCCCGGCGCCACCGGTACCGCTGCCGCCTGGCGTTTCTCAGCCCCTTGCAGGCGTCGGCAGCGGTGCCCGCGGTACACGGCCTGGCGTTGGACCCAAAACAAACGCGTGGCCCGCACGCCGGGGGATTGAAGTTGATTGGGGGGGCACGAACCCTGGAATTCAAGTCTGCCTGGTGAAAAAGTGGCGTTTAGGTCTACTGGTGAAAAAGCGGGGTTTAAGTTTGCCTGGTCAAAAAGTGGCACCCTGAACTGAACATGGCGGTTCCATCCAATTTCATCTGAAGACCGGTGATCCAGGCAGGCTATGAACTCTTCTCGGTGCAAAAAGGAAGGCTTCCAAGCAATCATGGGGCTATGAGTGCCACAAGGAGCCGGCGGCGGGCCATGCCCATCAACCTGCAATCTATGAAACAAACTCCGGGCAAATCTCCAGGAAGTCGCCCTACCCCTAGTTGGTGGTTTGGTTTGGGTAGTTTGGACCTTTACGGGGGTGCCTTCCCCACCTGCTCTCAAAGGAACTAGGCTTCAAATCGCAGTCAAAGGGAACCTGAGGAAGTTAGCCAACCACCCACAAAACACGAGGATTTCCTGGAGAAGTTAACCCAACACCCACAAAACGCGAGGATTCCCTGGAGATCTTCCTGGGGTTTGTTTCTTAGATAGAAAGCTACACACCGCAACTGAGGGCCTGGATCTTCTTGGCAGCTGCCTCTCGGATCCTGGAAGGCGGCAGATAATTAAGCGAGTGGTGAGAAAGGGGACGGATAGACCATAGGTTTGGGGGAAATGGGGTAAGCACTACATCTTCACATGTGTAAGTGTTTGTAGGTGTTGGTCTTTTGGGTTCTGGTAGATGTTAGGAGGGGAACCTGCAACAAACATACTTATCTGCTAGCAAACACAAGGTATGCCAGTTCATTGAGGCATGTGCGCCGCGGTGACATCAAATGGCAAAATTGTCTGTCTGCCGGCAAGTCAAGATAATGAACACACACCAACTCGGAGGAATTGCGCCATCTACTTTCCCGCAACCGTGCTTGGTTACTGTTGACCCCTTAACTTCCTGTGGGCCCAATGGAAAATCCGGCCTGTTTCAACCAAAAAGCTCTTCAGTCCAAAGATCCATTACCAAACAGCCATAACAATCGTACCATCACTTCCTGCACTCAGATGCCCAGTGGCCAGGGGAAGAAAGAAACGGGCATCCTTCTTTTAATTCATTAAGTTTAAAGGGAACCCTTCCCCAAAAAACTGGAGAACCCTTGCCCCAAAAAGTGGAAAAAAGGGCACCACTGCGCAACTGGGGCCGTGTTTCGTGCTTCGCAGGGGTTCAGCGGGCCGCGGGGAGCTGTGGGAAGCTTCCCCGTCTCCTCTTCCGCTCGCGGGCCTCGCGCTCCTGGTGCTGACCTGCAGCTCTAGGATTCCAACCTGCCCCAAGTCCCACCCCTCTATTACTCTTGGTATGGTAGCAAAAAACTGTGTTTCTTGCAGACCCCCAGTAAAAATGAACAAAAGCACAAAAAAAACAAAAAAACACACATGCCAAGAACAGTGAAGAACTATCTTGGCCCAAGAGTGGGGTACAAGAACCGTGCTCAAATGATGAGGCCCAAATCTGGCGCACAGAAACAATGGGCTTCTCTACACTATGATGCAAGATACTGTTGGAGACACTAGTTTGATTCTATGCGACCTAGGTTATGATCAGCTGAATGGTAATATGGAGTCGCAAGAGAGGTTGCTTCTGGTAATGGCGTCAATCTGAGGTGGCGAACGGTGACGCAGCTTGCCTGAACAGAAACCCGAAGCTTTTGCCGGTTTTTGGCTTTTGCCTGGCATTGCGGCGATTCTAAAGTGAAGTTTCTGCCTAGCACGAGCGGTCTGAGAACTCTGAGCCATCTAAAGCTCCAAAGAAGCGGTAAATTTGGCTTGCGACAAAGTAGGGGAACCAACCCAACACAGTTGCTGCTTTTGGCTTCAAATCTCCAAAGAGGAGGAGCCCCTGCCTAACAAAACCCATCTGGTTCATTCCGAAATGTGAACTGATTCTGGAGGAGACCGCTAAGAAAGGTCAAAGTGAATTGAGTCACAATCAGAACACTGCAAATAAAGTGTTCTACCCAAAACCATGTAAAGGCAAGGGCGGATATCCAAAGCTACTTATGGCTGGGACTGTCCCTTCCTATCCTTCATCCCCCCGGGTTTTGTGGCTCAAGTTGCTGCCTCGACTCGAAGCGGCTGGGATTCCCGGCGCTTTACAAAGTCAGAACGACTCTCTTCAGCAGTCCGAGCGCCTTTTCGGCCTGGACATCAGCATAGAAATTCCCCCAGCTCCCCCCGCCCCCCCCCGCTGGCCCCCCGCTGGAGAAATCATCCGCACATGTTTCCAGTCGCCAAACTTGCGCGTTTTGGAACAGACATCCCTCGTTTCGATGTCAAGTCTCAAGCAGGGTGGGACCCTTGATGCTTCAAAGCCACCGACATCATGCTGACTAACTTCGGATGACTTCTGAAACACGGCCAATGTCCCACTCCAGGAAAAACCACCCCTGATCAGAAGGAAGCTGACATGATTGCCGCGGAGTCTAAACGAACACTGCCAACATCAAGTTCAACGCTTGCCGACTCAACAAGTTGATATGGAACCTGCTACTCACTTCCTGGGTGGCTCCCAAAAAAAGAGTTTGGACTTGTTTTTTTCCACCAAAGTGGCCCAGGCCCAAAAAGCACAAAGTCCTGGAACTCTCGGAGTGAAGGATAAAAAGGGGGCGAGCGAAACCAACGAGTCCTTCACTTGGTTGCTGTTGACCCCGCTCCCCTGCAAAAAGTTCAACTTGTTTGGGGGGGGTTTAGTGGAACAGTTTCTTGGATTTCCAACAAGTTGAAGTCTAAAGATCCAACCCAATAGCGGTCAAGTTCACCCCCCACGGCTTCCCGATTCTCTGCCTCTGCCACTGAGGTCCACCCTGCCGCTGCTTGAAACCTGCGAGGTGAGATGGGTGAGGCTACAAAGACTCGGCAGGGCTGTGGTTGAAATGCCGACTGTGATACAACAAAAAGGGCATCCCAAAGACTAACCCTCCGAGTGTGAAATGGGAGATTCCCTTGTATCACAGACTGACAGAAGTGGTTGGATAAACCCCTTGATGCTCTGCGGGATCTGGGGTGTCTTCCTTTGAGGACCGGTCGCCGTTTCGATGTTGCCCCTAGGCAAAGAAAGCCCATGCTTGAGGGGTTCCACAACGAGACAACCCACTTTGTACTCAGTTTCCCCGTCTGGGGACTCAGAAATATATCAGGTGATCACCTTTTGGGGGAAAACCATGACGATTCATGGACCAAAGGGGAAACCAAAAGGTCAAACGGTCGATTCGCCTTGGGCAAGTGAGAATGAGTTCCTTTCGGATGACCACACATTCTCCTCGCCGCAAGTTGCAAGCAACCAGTCAATCGGGGTCGCCTGATGTATGGCACACCGCATTCCCGAGATTTCCCTTCACCTCTGCAAGGGCTAGTGTTGACCCCATATGAATTTCAACCCCTGTTTGGTAATAGGGGGGTGTCCGATTCTGGGTTTAGAGGGGAATCAGACCACCATTCGAGGGGAACACACCCCTCATAAACTGGGGTTGATTACTATGGGGTCAACACTAGCTATATGTTGAGCCTTCTTGAGGTGTAGGACCTCAGCTCACATCTGAGCACAAGGGATTCCAAACGACATGATTCTTCGCTGGGCATCCCCGGCCTTCCCGTTGAAGTCGAACATGGCGACTGAGAAGGGCACTGTGAATTGGTGTTGGGTATAGTCAACCGGAACGACTGGCTACCAAGCTGGTGAGCTCGTTGTGCCTGCAGGGTGTGATGCTGCAGCTGGAGTTTGCAGGAGAAACACGCAAACACATGAAACCGGAAGCTGAGATTAGTGCCTTCTACCACGCAACAACCAGCTTGAGAACTCAGTGATCTCCATGGCGTTCTAGCGCCACGAATGACATCTGACCCGCTTCGCTGCAACGGAAGTTTGCCTTGGCTTAAAACGATTCTGAAGCGGAGTGTTCTGTGTCCATATGTCTGCATCAGCTTCTCGACAGGCGCAACCCTATGCTGGAGCCCAACATGCCGCGTTGGAGTCAGGAAAGGTCGACTCAGGCCTTTGGCCTTGACTCAGGTCAGCTGCAATTGGTTGATCCAGCAGCCAAACATCAAACAAGATGTCCACATCCTACCCAATCTACTCAGTGGCTCATAGACCCTGTGCTACAAGCCGACAATCTGTTGTGGGGTCTGGGTGTATTTTTGTAGGGGACCCAGCCGAAACTGGTGGCTCTCCTTTTTGCATTGCCTTGGAACCATGACAAAAAGGATACCCTCAAAAAGAAGCACCCATACTGTAACTGGCCGAAATCCATTTCTGACAAACCCCGGTTTCTGATTCGATTCCCCTGTAAATGACCACAAAGGTTTGGTTTCCCGTGTTTTCATTCGGGGGACCTAGAAGCAATCGAGCTCCAGTCCCCTCTATCTCATCCCTCTGGCAGCAGTCATTTTCTCCCACGCAGCTCAGACTGCTTGGGGCGAACTTGGCCCAAATCTGGGGTACGCGCAGAACGCAGGTTTTCAGATTGAGCGAAGTCTCATCGAGTCGACTCCAATATATTTTCAACTGACCTTGGAGCAGCCCCCAGCGAAGTTCTGCGGCAAGCGCGACGGGTCCGGATATAAATCGAACCTAAACTACGACTTGCAGACCTTGAGCTCGCACCAGACAACTCAGCCAGCAACTGCTGGTAAAACGGCGCCGACAAACAACTCACCATGCCGGGTGTCGCGGTTTGGGCTTTTGCCAAAAGCTTGGTTGACGTTGGAAGGGGAGCAACAATTTAAATTTTAGCAGTTAAGTGGGGACTTCCCACTAAACCACAATAAGCAAAGATGTTTCAAATGTTTCCCAACAACAACCATGAAAGGGTGGTGATCCAACAGGATCGGATCTTCAAATTTCTCCAAAAGCAAGAGGCGAAGCCTAGAGAGAACCATCTCTAGGTGCTTGCCTGAGCCCAAGGGGTTGTGGAACGAATTGGCCATCACACTTGGAATGGCAGGTGCACGAATTCGCCGAATTGGCACACTGCGCTTCGCGCAGCGGATTGACCCGCAACAGAACGAGCCACCTGTCCGGAGGGCATGATGCCTGTGGTGAGCATGCATTCTGTTTGCCAAGGATAACAGGTTCTTGAATCCCAAGAGCCTCTGCAAAAGGATTCTGATGGCATGGACAGGATCATGAAGGTATGCCATCCCTTGTGTCCTTTCCCTTACCTTATCGTCCGACATGGTCAGGTTCAGAAAGAAGCATTGAGCGAGCAAAAGCAGCCCGCTAAATCATAGACGACTTGTGACTTGTGCAGGCCACAGGGCAACAAAGCATCAATGCCAAATGCAATGCTGCAACAAAAAGAAAGTGTTTTGGATGGACACTCGCCTTGATTCTATCTTGCTCGATTCACAAAGTGTCACTGGTTGCGATGCCCACTTTCATGTCGAGCATGTGCGTGCGATGCTCAAACATCACGAATTGAGCACACGCACAAGACAACACGAATACACACAAACGCACAAATCACACATATGTACGTACCTCGCATCTATATAATATGCTATTTCACATGCACGATGATGATCAAGTTTGCGGATACACCCCTCATCGAAGTAGGGTTTCAACAAACACACATCCCCCTGTTGATTCATCGACATCATTGGCCTCCATTGGCTTCTTCGCCCCCTTGAAACAAAGTAGCCAAATATGTGCAATAGTGCTAGATTCCAACTTTAACATCATTTCAGCAAATGGACGTTGAACCTTTAGTGGGTTTAATGGAACCCAAATCCAACCTGAAAGCAAATGGAAGCTAACAAATCTTCATTTCAGCAAATGGAAGTGATGAGGACAAATATCTGGGCTCGTCTGCTCTGCCAGTGGCTTCTCTTCAAAAGGACTCTTCGCTGAGACGCCTGGGCCAACGATACGGGACTGGCGTTGCCAGGCGCTGGTCCATTTGCCTTCGTCGCCGCCTGGGAAAAAAGAGAAACTATGTTCAGTAGCGAAATCGATTTTCTTTTTTTGAAACCAGGGAAACTAAAACATAGTCATTTGGCCATGGGTCAAAAGCCCGTACCCCCAGTGAACATCCCAATCCCTACTAAAAAAAACTAAAATGGGTGGTGCACCTACCCCATAATGGTACCATTGGTTTTGACCCACAGCCATTTCAGCAAATGGAAGTCTACTGGATGAATTCCAGCCCCAAACCCTTCTTCCAGCACCCCCCCAACCACTGCTTGTTGGACAGTACCAAAGATTCTGGACATGGGAAAAAGCAGCGGGTGCTGGTAGGGCCCGTCAAGCTTTTCAATGACTTGCTGGTGCTCGGGAGGGAATGATCCAGGGTGTTGGGAAACCTTGCGATTCCCTTAAAGGAAGCCACAAGGAATTGTTAAAATCGGGGTCATTTCAAGTCATTCTCCGCTGAGCACCAGCAAGATGAGGCATTCTTCAAAGGCCAACCCAGAGTTTGTTCCGTCCACGGTAATACGGTAAGAGGGCACGACAGCTCATGTACGCTTTTCTGGGTCCAACATAGGGGGCTTCGGGTACAACAAAGCTTCAGCCCCTTTTTGGCTTCGCAACAAGCAAACAGGAGTTATTATTTTCGCACCACGGAAGGTGCTTCCATTCTCATCCTGCGCAGCTGCTTTTTGGAGGGAGGTCAGTCTGCTCTTTGGAGGAGAGTTGGCAAAGCGACAAGCTGAGTGCCAGAGGGGCTCTCTCACGCCGTCCTCCACGCAGCTCTTTATCTTGTGTCAAACGGCCATCCCTTCATTTGCACACGCCTGAACGCCATCCTGAGATCGTCGCTCGAACATTTGCATTGCTGCTGCCCGTGCAGAAAAGAGCCTTGCACATTTTGGCTGCCATTCCAGCCATGTCCCAAAGAACCCTTGGTATGGGAGCAAACACTTTGCTTTTTGCAGCCCCGGTTAAAAATGAAGAGAACCAAACAAAACAAAAAACAACAAACAACTTGCCAAGAGCAGTGCAGAATGACTTCGGGGCGAAACGCAACCATAAATCAAACATGCCAGCCTCAACATCTACCGGGCCCCACGCAAGGCCGGCCATGTGCAACCGACGGCACCAACAACACCCACCACCAGAGTGTCTTAAAATCTGGCACCAACAACACCCAGCACCAGAGTGTCTTAAAATCAAGCACCCCACGAAGTTATGGGCTTTCCTTTATTTCTGCTTTCAAACTGCCCAATACCCTGAAAAGAACCAAACACACACACACACACATCCACTCGCGAGGAGTACCAAGCCCGGCCTCGTCTCCTCAACGCGCCCGCGCCCTGAGCGGCGGGCCTGGCGATCAGATTCCAGTTGCTCACCCGTTTGGTCGACAGAACAGCAGGGCTCCCTGCTGTAACCACTTGAAGCATCACCCCCCCAAGGATACTCACCTTTCATGGGCCAAAAAAGTGATGTTTACAAACCACCAAACCTGGAGATATAGGGACCCCTGAACAAGGTTGAACAAGGGAACCCTTTTTGGAGACAGCATTCCGTGGTTGCTATTTTTCAGAGGCGTTCCAGGAAAGAGCTGCTTGCGTCGCAGACTCGCGCTCCGAACACATGTTCCTTAATACGTACACCAAGCTTTCTTGTCGGCTGGGGTCGGTTTTCAGCCCTGTTGCTGCCACAATAACTTCAGCAAATATCAAAGATGTAAAGTGTTAGGAAGCGTTCCCCCCCCCCGCCCCGGGCGAGCCAATAGTCAAGCTTTGGTGTAACATGCTTATCATTGTCTATATTATCTCTGCTTGCTTCACGCTTAGTGCTGCCATGCGTGACCTGTATCCCAAATCACCCAAGAACACGTTTCTACGAGGGCTTCTACCCCGCCACCACCACCAAGAAATGGAAACGGCCCATACAATCACCAAACAAACCACTCCGCAAGGGTAGTCTATGCCTGGATTCCACCTGGCTTGGTTTGAGTACACCTCACCTATGAGTCCCTTATACCCCAAAACACATGTATGGGATATGGCAGTTTTCCTGAAAATACGCCTTTCTCCCCCTCCCTTCCATACCTTCCATACGTTAAGGGAAACGACATCCGGATCCCCAGGCATCCAAAGCCAACCCCCACCTCGGCCCAAAGGCAGACACCCGGCTTTGGTCGGCCGGGTAAGGCGGTCTAGACCTCACAGGAGTGCGGTGGGGGATGCCTTTCTACAGATTCAGAAAGCAAAGCAACGGGGTCCCCCAAAACAGGATTCTTCTGAAAATGGCTGGGGGTTTGGGGTTCCATGGTAAATTGTAGGGGAGCAGGTACTTGTCGGTTTGGTCCCTTTTGGGGGGTCCACGGTGGACCTATGTTCAGGCCTTGGGGGGTCATTTGGCTTGGCCCGAAATAAGGGGGCATGCAAAACAATGTTAGTGAAGATTCTGCTTCATACGTCATCGTTTACCCGACCTGTTTGGCGGAAAACCAAAAGAATTGAGGGCCATTTAGCAACCAAATGCCTACTTTACGCTGGGCCTGGTGCCTTTCTTTATGTTTGGCCAATCTCGCTAATGTGAAGCTCTGCTACAAATTCAAACGGAATGGTCCGAATGTTTTACAATGAGTTTTATCATGTTCGCCCCGGTGACTCTGCACTCATATATGGTCCTCATCACCATGTGGAGCTTAATGTGGAGGGGTGGAGTGTAAGGCTTAGCGGGTTGAGATCAACTGGACGCGGGAGGGCGTCGACATGGCAAACAAAAAACTGCGTTTGGTACATTGGTGGTCGAAAATCCCTATTGGGAGGTTGATGGCCATCCCTCGTGCGCGAGCAGCCTGACTGTGGTCGTCGAGGCTCTATGTAAAGAAAAAGCGAGGTTGATGGCCATCCCTACCAATCCCCAATTAACGGGTCTTGCAGTCTTGCGAACAGCCAGTGGGAGGTTGTGCTGCGGCCTCTCGCACAACTCTCTCCCACCATATGTGTCGGTCCATCAGCTCGCGCGCAATCCATATGTACAGCTAAGGGCATGTTCAGGCATTGAGTTTAATGGCATCGAGGCTCACAAAGTGTGCAAGGCAGCATTTAAACTATGGGAAATCAGCTGCGTACCTCCAAAACTCCATGCCTAAAATCTCCCTGCATGCAGCCTGGCCCACGCAACTCTTTTGCGCAGAACCGGCGGCGAAACTGAGGTTCAGTCGCAGCGAGCTTGGCACGGTCTGGCAAGAAGTTAATTTAGGCAAAGGTCCCTGAGCATAGCGCATCAAATCCCCATACATCATGGCCTCCGTGCCCACAAACGGAACATGGTCAGAACAGATCTTTTTGGGGGGTACGGAATCCCGTCCATAGAGATGATACTTCGCGGTGGGGATGACGTGAAAATGCTCTCCGGGAGGCCGAGGATAGCGAGGATTGCTGACCAGTGACTAAGTAGCCGGTCGCCTGCCAAAGTAGTCCCCCCCGGTAGAGAAAGGAGCACGTGTCTTTTGTGGGCCACCCAACAAGCAAAAAGCGAAAACGGGTACCACTGCACAACTCGGACAAGGCACTCATAAGCCAAACCCCAGCTCCAAAAAATCGCTCGTCTCAGCTAGCGAAAGCTCGGCTGAGGGCGATGCCTCAGCGAGACACCCCGAGCTAAGGTAGTCGATGAAGCTCAAAGGGAAGCCCAACAAGACCTACTATAGAGGCCTAAATATTTGGGATGGAGCTGTCTCGGAGTTGTGGATGTTTCAAGGCCAAATTTTAGTCATTTCTATAGAAAGCTGGATTGGCCTCCTTGGTTGGTTGCCCTTTACTAAGAGCCAGATTTGTCGACTCTCTCTGACTATTTTTTTTAACACTCAGCCAAGAGTCAGGTCTCTTAAAGACTCCTTGTCAACAAAAATGTGTGCGAAGAACACCAAACTCCCACGCAAAGTTGGCTTGGGGGCATCGCTAAACCTTTGTGAGAGGGCATCAAAGTGGCTGCTCCCCGATTCCTCCATGAGCTTCTGTTCATGCAAAGGTTGGGTTATGTTGGGTTAAACTTCAGGACTGCTCCGGTTCCATTCCCTTCAACTTTCTTTTCCCAAACTTCCCCCGCCTGAGTTGTTTGCAAACATTGGGTCTCAGGGGACCCGTCTTTGAGGCGGGCGGACCTGCCAAAGCAGGTGCCCAGCGATCTGCTTGACACATGGAACCCTTTTGCGGTCACAGGTGTGCCTCTGAAGAAGCTCAAGCAAAGGCACACACCAAGTGAATAGGGACCCCCCCCCAAACATTCCACCCCCCAACGCACACCCACACACTTCATTGGGAAAGTGTGTACCATCGACTCAACCTGGAGGCCTGCAGGTGTTCTTACGTGGATAGCGGTAGGTTTCATAAGTGAATTCCGAGCTGCCAAGCGGAAGGATCGGCAGGCCTGGCGATGCAGTGAGCGCTGCCCCCCCCCCCCAGTTGCGAGTTTTCCTCGTCGATCACCTTGAGACATCACCCTTTCCGGAATGGAAGCCTGCTATTCACGCCTGTTTGCTTGACCGGGTGACTGAGTGACCCCTGGAATTCCCTGCGCCGATTCCAAGACCAAAACGCCAAGGGGAATCCCTGGGCGGGGGAGTCCAAGGGGCAGCAAAGGTCGTCAGGCAGGGGCCATATTCCCCACTAAGCCCTGAAGGGGGGGAGGGGGGGAGGGGGGGAGAATGGACCTTGCCTGAGATGACCAATCCTCCAGACGAGACGTTGGTTTCCCTTTCACCGGCCAATGGAAACAAGGTCCAGATCAAGTGGCTGATGGTGGCTCGGTGCTGGGCTGAAAACATGTCTCTGGTTTGGCTTCTGCGCACGGCGCGCTTCGCCTGCAACTGCAAGCAACAAATCCACGGGATCCATAAGGTCCGCAAGACCTTCTTGGCTTGACTCAACTGGTCGGGTTCTGTTCCTTTGTCAACCTTTTCCATGTCGAATCAATTTTTCTACAGGGGTCACTGGGGTTTCGCTCGAAACGATCGCCACTTTCGGAGGTGCCAAAAAGGGAAATGGCTCGGACACCCTGGGCCCAAGGAGACCCAAACTTCTCAAGGCCACATTGGGGAAACCAAGGGGGTCCCCACTGTGGATGGACAAAATCCTACACCACCTAAGAATCCTGGAAGGATGATTCCCCTGTAAATGCCAACAAACAATGGCTTCCCATGGTTTCAAAGTGGTGCGAAATGGATTTCGTAACCATCCACAGTATGAACCAACCAGCCCATTGCCTCGGAGGCGTGCGGCATCGGGCGCGAAGATCGTCAGGAGGTCGGCAGCGCAGCTCTGGATCTGGCCAGAAGGGCCACTGATGCCCGCCATTTGCTTCAGTGCCCTGAAACAAAAACGCATATTTACAGTAGTGATAGATTCACTGTAAACCTAACTGGGAAAATGCACAATATTCTTAAGCAAATGGAAGCCTATAGTGGCTGAGCCACAATTCGGGACTCCACGTGCGAGCTGACCGTTACTCGCATAGTGACCATGTACAGTGACATCTTGAACATCGCCCGCTTAATGGTGGAATTGCGATAACGGGAACTGCCAAGTAATCGAGACAATGTGCCCAAATTAAACTGCCTCATCAAAAATGACACATTTGGAGCTTTCACACATGGTGGACCCCCCTTTTGGTTGGTTCTTACAGGAAATTAGAAAGGTGAACCAGCCATCTTGTGGTGTGCCCCAATTTGCTCACACCCAATTGTCAGGGTCTGAAGGATCGCCTGGCTTTTGTTTCCCCTGTCAAAAAGTACTATGTGCCTGACCAGGGCTCCAATCAGTAGCTCCCTCCAGGCTTGAACAAAACAGGATACCGCTCCGAGTTCTCCCTTACCTCCCTCTGCTGGCTGAGGGCTGTGCCTGCTAGCGTAAAACGGTAAAACATGTCATCCAACAAACAAACAAGAATAAAACCCTGTGGCTCGCTTCCAACCACCAACCAGAAAACTGCAAACCCCTCCACGGAGCGCTCGCCAAAAAAAAAAAGAGGCTTGGCTCGACGGGCGGAGAGCGCCTCCGTGGGGTCTGCGGAGAGCTGCGCCCGGTCGAGCTGCACCTGGGCCAAGACCTCGAGCCGAGTCGCCGAGTCGCTCAACGGGTAATTGTACCTTCGGTCCACTTGTCCCAGACAATGTGTAGGTAACATATATATATATATATTTGTGTGCATACGTGAATGCCAACATAACTGACCCACGGGAGGGTAAATGTGGGAAAATAGTGTCGTTGTTTGGCTTTCTGTCAAAGGCTGATTGAAAGAACATATGGGTATGAATCTCATTTGCAGACCCTGTATTTGGGAGGTGGTTCCCTATTCAAATTGTAAGCCACAATATGTCCACCTGTCTGTCCCTGAGGCAAACGGTCATGCCTACTCCCAGTACCCTCACGCTCTATTTGCTTCCGCGGACTTTTTGCCAAGTCCGAACTTTTTGTTCACAAAATCTATTCCCAAGCTTCAAGTCCATGAGCTCAGGGAGTGAGAAAAAATATGTCGTCAGCCCCTACAGGAAAATGTACAAGTCCCAAGTTGTTCCAAGTTGGTTCAATGCTTTGTTCTGCGTGAGGTGACGGGGCGGTGGCCCCAAAAGGACACCAGCAAGAAAGGGTGTCTCAGTCATCCAATGTTTCAACAACACGGCAAAGGTAACCTTTGCTGATTTTCCTTTAGACCCCAGCCACAAACAGCTTCCACAGTGCCCTTCTTCCAACTGGAACAAGCGTGGACTTCAAAACCTAACCTCCAAAAAAAGCAAAAGGGCACCTGTTTTTGTTGGTACTTGCTCAAGTTTTGAAGAGAGAGTCCGTAAGAGCAGTTGGCAACACCAAAGACACTAAACGTATCTAAAGAAGTGAGTCAAGACTTCGAACCCGCCCCTGAGTTGAACCAACCTCCAGTCCACTCAGGACGTGCGCCCTCCAACGTAGGTTTGCTGTATGTTGGAATCCTTTCCTGGGTGGAGGCGTCCATTCCCAGGGTTGCAGAACCTGGGTTTTAGGGGCCAATTTGGATATCAAGGCACCCTCCTGTCAAGCGATCTGACTGGGGATTGCCAACTTCGCTTTTTCTCAGTAGGGAATCAACAGGGGTGTTGGGTATGAAGCTAGGCTACGGTTGCTTTCTGCTCCCCTGCTAAAAGTGACTAACTTTTAGTCGTTTAGTTCGGAACACCCATTAGTTGGCAAAAAGGTTTTCAGTCCTAACAGCCCTTGGCAAACTGCACCAAAGTATTTCCTCGCAGGAAGCCGCCGAGCAAAGCGATCCCACGGAAGTTTTCCGGACTTGGGCACCTCTTCGAGTCCCAACTCCGCCGCACAGCGCTCCGGGGTCCAGTTGTGGTGGCAGTAGGTGGCGGCCTCCCAGAACCGCCTCGAGAGAAGCGGGCTGATCGAAAGATCCAGCCACTAAGATGGTGTCCACGGCGTCCCCCAACCACTTGCCCACAAAGGAAAATGGAAAAGTTTTTTTTTGTAGTGGAAAAGGGGGTCTGTCTACTCCATGAAGGCAGGAGTGGATTGGGGGTACCATCTTAGAGTTGTCTGGACACCTGGGGTCTTGGCAACCACCTTCCTTGAGGATATTGTTATTTTTGGACTGGCTGCAGAATGGATTTCTCACAAGGGATGGAAACAAATGGCTTGTTCATTAAACTTACAAAACGCTAAACCTCCTGCTCCGGGATGGGGGGGGGGGAGAGCAACCCATTATCAAAGTCCAAGTGCGAAGGGATGCAACCACAAGCACTATCTAGCAGGGCGCCTGTCCAACCGCCATCTCCAAAAGAACTGATTGCCCGGTGATTGCCAAACAAATGAGTGTGTGCCAAAATAGCCCCCCCGCAAAAAAAAGAAAAGAAAAGGCCACGATATGCACCATGGAAGACAATCCCCTCTTGAGCAATGAAACTGCAATTGTTCTGTGTTACCCCTGAGTGATTAAATGTTGTACCCACTACTTGCCAAGACCCAAAACCAACACCAACCGCCCCCCCAAAAGACCCCCGCAAGGGTTAGGGGGGTTAATGCATTAGACATGGGTAGATAACCCGTTCGGGGCTTGAAGGAAATCTGGTTGTGGGAATAACAAGAGCCACTTTCTCACTTCCGATCGAGCGGACAAAAGTCTAAATCTATTGAGTGCCAATACAATGGTAACCCGAAAAGTCACATTCCCTCCATCAGGTGTTTTTGTTGCCTTTAAGTTTCACCATGGCTTCTTACCTACTTCAGTGGCTTGCCTGGTAGCACCGTGAATGCTAACACTTCTCGAAGATGGTTCCACTACACCCAAACCATTACCCCAGACATTTTTTTGAGGGGAAATTCAGCCTTGTTTCTTACCAGCGGTCACCCTTGCGGGATGGCTGTGGTGATTGAACCCCTAAGAATGCTAGGTCCAAGCAAGGGTAGTTGAGAGCCCCTTTCGGGTTTCTTAGGGTTTCATAGGGTTCCTTGGCTCACTTCCTGATTGGATGAGCCCAAAAAGTCCAAACTTTCTGTGTGCCACCAAAGGGGAACCCTCCACTTCCATTTTTCTCGGCCCTCGTCGTTTCGCGTTGTCGCGCGCCTGAAGGCCGGGCGCCAGGGCTGAGCCACCGAGAGCTCACAGAACCCCGGCTGGCCTTGACCTACCGGATCACCGCAACCGAGCGACGCGTCGGCGCTGCGGTCTGTGTCGTTTTTGGAATTTGGTATTGAGGTTTTCCGGTGTTCCTTATTCTTCCCACTAGGTTGCTTTGGTTTTGCACATGTCCATTCAGGTTCACCCATGATTGAAACCCCCACCACCCCTTACCCTGTCACTTACCAACGGCGAATCGGCGTTCGGTCTTCCAGTCAAAGTCCAAAAATGGGTATGTCCAAATAGGGCGACCTTTCGGACTCGCCCGCAGGAAAAGCCGTTGATATCCATGGCATGAGTTCGGGTCACGACTTGCTTGTTGAACCCTCCCCCTCTTTGAGGGAGGTGAAGGCCAAATTGAGGCTGCTGCTAGGTCGATGTGGGGGGTGAAGGCCAAATTTGAAGTGAGGCTGCTGCTAGGTTGATGTTTCAAGGGGAAGCCTGGGTGTTTAGTACAAAGTAAAGCAAAAGGACACCTCATTTTCTGAGACGGCCCCCCCCCAAAAAAAAAAGGAAAAAAGAGGAAAATAAAAGGAAGTTCAAAGTTGATTTTCCTGTTGGTTTCCTTCAAAACCACCAAACAACGGGGCAGCACCTCCAATGCTCATCACGGATGAAATCTGTAGCTCCCCTCTTTGTCACGGTCGCCCTGATTTGCTCAGGTAATGGCACAGCCACATGCTCCGGCCTTCCCACCACTGCTTGCAGAGGCACTGGCCAATAGAGGTGTCCTGAAGCCAGCAAGCCACCATCCTCAAACTAGGCATACGGGAGTAACCGGAGTCACCCACTAAAAGGACCCACGAAATGACGCCGCTATTTACCCGGCGACTTATTGAAGCAAACCTTCTAGATCCATCTTTCCAGCCCCAAAGGTTCCTAAAAGACATCAGCTTTGTCTGCCGGGACTGGCTTCACCCCTACCTTTCCCCAACCCCGGGTATCTCGAAACTTTGAGGGGTATCATGCGTACCCGTTTCTGGCTTTATACAAAGGGAAACCAAAAGAAAAGCCTAAAGTTGTTCTTTTTCTGGGGGAATGGCCGCAAAAACAACAATACAGTCCATATTTGTTTGCAGCCTTCCAAAACATGCGGAACAATTGCCCACTAGACACGGTCTCCAGGGAAGTTCCATCTCCTCCCCCAGCTCCTGCCCAGAACTGGGACCTATGAATTAGGAGGCCCAAGAGGCGAAATTGGACAATGGGAACTGTTTCAAACCCCTGTCTCAGGTTGGAACCAATGGAAAAACATGATTCTCGTCGCAAGTAAAACACCATTCCCTTGGACAACTGAGCCTCAACTCTCCAGTTTTGGGTGTCTGTTTCAGGGGCGCAAAGGGAACTTGGTGTCCTTCTGGCTTCCCTTTACCTTCCTTCCTGGGTGGACTGACCCACCAAATCCAAACTTATTGCTTTCCACTAAGTTGGCAGTTGGCCTTCCCAAAAAGCTTCAAGTCCATGAACTCGCGGAGTGAGCCAAAAACCACAAACAAAAATCCAGGAACCTCAGGAACCCCAGAAAAAAAGACACGCCCTTTTCCAGGTTGATGCGCAGGTCAAGCGGCCGTGCGCGGGCACTCGCCATCCTGCAGGCAGTCCCGGCCTTGCGGACAGACTGAGCCCCCCTCCGCAAGCACCCCACCCTTCCCACAACAATTCTTGGCTGGACTTAGAACCCGGCAAACAAATATCTTTTTTGCCCCGTTAGTGGAAAACAAAGCGAACACCAAAAAAGCAAAAAAGCAAAAAGGGGAGCCAATTCTGGGGAAGAATTATCGGTTGCTTTCTGCTCCCCTGCTAGGATTAATACGGAAAACCCATGAGTTGGCAAAAAGATAAAGTCCGAACATCCCTTGGCAAGATGCAACAAAGAATTGGCTCTGGTTCCCGACCACGGCAGCTGCGGCGGCTGTGTGGGTCCTAGCCTGTTCCGGGTTGGGGGGGGGGCAAAGCCTGGCTTCGGCTTCTAACAGGTTCTGGGAGGCTAGTTGCGGAGGTTGGGAAGTTCTGGGGTTAGTTACGGAGGTTCGTTCTGAGGTTGGGAGGTTTGTTGCGGGGAGGTCGGGAGGGTAGTTGCGGAGGTTCATTGCCTGAATTCTTCATCATGGGCGTTTGCTCGCTTTGCCCCGGATCGGTGACTCGCCGAGGTTAGGCTGATACTTCGGCTTTGTTTGATGGTTGATTGCCGGGGAAGGTGTCCACCGATTCCTCACCCTAGCCAAAGGCGCAGTTCAATCAAGCAAGCAATGAACAAAACCAACAAAAACATAGAGTTGAACACTTGAAACCACACAATTGCCAACAAAGTGAGGTTGCACGCCTTCAAACATCGCCCTACAAAAACAACCTATTTGAATGCTTGGGCATGGATCAATCCAAACCACCAACGAAGGGTTACCCGAAAAAAGGGTACATTCAAAAACGAAGGCACAAAGGGTTCCACCTTTTTGCTACTCCAAGGTAGACGGAAGCCCGGGCGGTTCTCTTTAGGGACTTCAACTACCCTGGGTTTGAGTTTATCTTAGGATATTCAAAAGTGGAACCCTGAACGCACACATTTACTTGGTGGCAGTTGACCCCTGTGCAAAAAGCAAATAACTTTTAGTGGGTTGAAAGCAAACCCCATTGATGTCCCAAAAGTTAAAGTCTAAAGATCCAACCCACTAGTCACAAAGGATATATTGGACAAGCTTTACGAGGAAGGTTTGAACGAGTACTAAGGTTCTACTCTTTTGACGGGGTCCCTTCCAAGAGCCCGGGGGCCATTGAAGAACTCACTCACATACCAGCTGATTTAGAGGCTGGCCCTGTAAACCGGTTTCTGGCCGCTTCCTTCAAAGAGCCCTGGTTAAGATCACCTCATCGGAAAGAACAATGGCTTCCCGAAAGAGCAGTTGATTCCTGTAGCTCACTTGCCTGGGGTTCCTTGCCCCCATTAAAATAATGGCAAACACCCAACTTAAATGATGAACAAATGCTTAGGTCAACTCTGCTGGTTATCTCAACCCCCAGTGCATTTTATGCTTGCCGAAACCCTGGGTTCAATCCCCAAAAGATTTGGATGATGAAACTCCAAAGGTAAATGGTGGTGATTGTGTTAATACTGTGGATGGACGAAATCATGGGAAGCCATTGTTTGTTGGTATTTACAGGGGAATCATCCTTCCAGGGTTTCTTAGGTGGTGCAGGATTTCGTCCATCCACAGTACTGGTGGTTTGTGTCCCAGGGCAAAGGACCTTGAAGGAATCCAGTTTCGGCCCCCGATCCAGTCCCGTCTCTATGCTTTTCTCGGCCCGGGGGCCGCTCACCAATGGCCGGCCGTACTCCAGCTCGAGCTCCGGCAGCTGTGCGCACTCCTGAAAACCCCAAAGCCCACTGGCCTGGGTGTCTGGTCATTCCCACACCCCAAAACCACTAGTTCCCCTGGGAAAAAGTCACCCCCGTTGGCCTACAAACCTGAGTGGGGGGAGCTTACGGGTTGGAGTTGCGCAGTTGTGCCTTAGGGACCCAGATGTACAAAGGTCACCCTTCCCACCATGGCACCCGGCTGGAGGCATCTTCTTTGGAGGTCAGTTCAGAGGGTGGTCAGTCGCACCAGTTGCCCAAAGCGGATCAGCATTTGGAACCCAAACACGCCCTTTTGATTGTTTTAAAGGGACATCCCCATTTTTGGGGTTCAAAAAGTGAGACAAACACCCATTTTAAGGTCAGAAGCTGTCCTTCCGCACGGGATTGACGTGATTGGTCATGCACAGCTTCCCTGTGCTGCTGGTCTCGCCCACAGTCAAGCTGTACTCCTGTCTGGATCTCTGGCAGTCGCGCTTTTTTTCATGCACCCTGCAAGAGAAAAAAACACAACAAGCACACCAAAAACATGTACCGTGTCGTCTTTTTTCTGAAGGAAACAAAGGAAGATGGAAGGTACCGGCAGATCCTACGACTCGAGCGTGGGGGTCAGTTGCCTGTTGATTTACCTCCAAACATATAGATATTTAGCAGTATGTTGCTTCGTGGCTTAAATTCAGTGTGCAAATCCAACCCGCCCCATTCTTAGTTGCCAACAAGGAATTCATTTGCGGGTTGCCGATGAGGAACCCACCATACAAGCAAATGCTTTTGAGGTGCGGCTCAAAGACTGGGGGCTAAAAAGCCGCGTTTGGGGGATACGCGCAAAGCGGGTACATGGGAACCACAATTGGTGGTTAAAACGAACCTTTCTGGTTCAAGAGAAGCATCCAGAATGGGACATCTTCCTAAACTCACTTCTGAGTGGAACCCAAAAGAATGTGAAAACTTGTGTGCCACTAAACTGGTCCAAACCCAAAAAGTTGTCCAAAAACTCCGGGAGTTGAAGAACACCTTGGGAAACTGGGCCGTGCGTTTTCTGATCCCCTACGAAAAGTGACTATCTTGTGGGATAAATTTGGACACCCAACCACGAAACCAACTACAAAGTGAAGCAAAAGTCAGCCACTAAACCAACTGAAACCAACCAAACACCTCTTAAGGCACCGGACGATGTGCTGTGAACCGCCGAGAAAAACAAATCTGCGTTACCGAAAAGCTACCCAGGCCACGCGGTCCCGGATACAGCGCGGGCGTTCCACCGCCAAATTGCAGCCATAGCCGTGGAGGCATTCGTCCGGGTGGAGACCCGTGCAGCTATGGCCTGGCGGACACGTCGGACAGCCAAATTTTTTGCCAAATAGGTGGTCTAGAAGAAAAATCAGACTGGGGATCTTGCATTTTGCTTAAGGCCTCCGAGGAAGTTCATAAACATGTCCAGGAGTGATAGATTCCCTTTAAAGCCAACAAGGGAACGTTGACATATGTTTAAGCAACTGGAAAGGATGTGTGAAAATCGAGGACGGCAAACATGATGGCGTTCCTTGAATTCCATTTCCTAGATGAACCTTAATTAAGCAGGGTACCCTCAAAGAAACACAACCAACTACTGTTTGTCATGTAAAATGTCCGTGTTGGGAAGTAAAGACAATGCGCGATGTGGCACCCGGTAGTTGCACTAGTTGATATCCCCCGTTTTATCGGTTGTTTTTGAAGAAACCCCAAAGGGTACGCCAACTTTCTTTTAGGGCCCTGAATTACACACCAGCCCCAAGGCGCTATAGTTCAATGGGACTGCAGCCATCGCGACTTTGTAAAGGCAAGGCCCGTTTTCCCATGAGAATAGGGGCAGTGGACATCACCTTGAGGGTCAACGACCGGGTTCCAGACTTGAGAAACACAGCTAGGTGTAAATAACTACATAACTAGCTAGGTTCCAGACTTGATCAACGCCGCTAAGTACAAATAAATAAAACTAAATAGGTCAGGAAAATGCACACAATACCGATCCCCTTTTGGCTTCCTTGTTGGAAATCACGAGTAGGCTATTGGGCACCATAGGCCCATGTTTCCAACCCAGTGGCCAAGGGAAAAAATAATTGGGCGCTCCCTGTTTTTTGGTACCCTTCCTCCCACTAACACAGCATCCATGCCTCTTTGAGAGACCCTCTGTCAGGTGCCATGGCAACGTGTGAGGGAGGGAAGTTTATTTTACGGGGGAACATCCTCGAGAAGCAAAACTCACTTGGTGGACTGGCCCAAAAGAGTCCGCACTTTGTGCTTGCCACTAAAACTGCAACCAAACCCTGCAAAGTGACTAAAGTCTGAAACGGAACTTGGGAAGTGTGAAAACAAGAAGAAACTGCAACTGGATGGTTTTTCGGGTGCTCGGCCAGGCCCTCTGACGCAAGTCCCCAGCCATCCAACCCCCCCGACCTGCCGGCAGCTGAGGCGTGCAAACCCCCAAGAAGCCTCAGCCAGGCTGTCGTGCGCCTGTGGAGAGTGCTGCTGACCCCTGATTAATCCCATCCATGCAGGTAACATATGCTAACGGTTGACCCATTTGGAGGGTAAATGTGGGCATGATGTTGCCATGCATGGATTGTTAGGTAACAAACAACCCACTTCTAGTTTGGAACCCTTTCTTCTCAGCGGAGACGTAGAAAACGTGGGGGAGGTCCAACTAATCAGGAGTCAACGAAAACAAAATTCATTTGCTGGCGCCGCCGAACATCGGACGTGGCAACCTCAAATGGAAAATAAAAAAAAGGAGTCAACATATGGGAAACCAGCCTCAACTTCAAATCACCAAGCAAACCCATCCGTCAAAGCTGAACATCCAGGGCCACCAGAAAATGGAACAAAGGGAAAAGTCGGCAAGCCGATTCTTGACCAGGGCAAGCCATTTTGGGGTTACAGCCATAGCCGGCAAGAAGCTCAGGTTAGGCGAAAAAAGCCAACCCACTTCCTGAGTGGATTGGCCAAAAAGAGTTCAAACTGTTTACCACTAAGCTTGTCTCCTCAAAAAGTTTTAAAGTCGAACTCTGGAACTGAGTTGACAGGGAACGGGGCAAGAAACCCCCAAAGGCGCAAAGAAGAGATAAAGGTGAGCCAAGTCTGGCAACGGTCTCTTCCTCCATTCCCGGTGTATTCTGGAGGGGTGCTTGGTCGGCTTTTTTTTCGAAAGCAAGAAAGGGGTCTGTCGTTTTTGGACGGTACTCTTTTTTTTTTTGGGGGGGGGGGTTCAAGGGAACCCCAAGAAAGGAAAGCCATCAACTTGGGGGTTCCCCCAACAAAAGACACACCCAATTGACGTTCTAGTTTGTCCTGTTTTGAAGGGAAGGTGAATGGTGTGAAAGGCAAACTGGGTGTTTCCAAGTGAATTCTCCGAACTTGTTGATTTCCGAGTGATTTCCCCAATGCCAACCACAAGGGGTCCCCCAGTTTATCGGAAACTCCCGCAAACTGACACACTGAACCAACAAAAATGGTCTCAACATCAGTGCCGGCAATGCAACTGGCCGCAAACCAGTAGCGCAACATGCTGTGCGCCCCAGGCAACCTTGCCAACATTTTGTGAGAACAGTAAAGCCCGTGCATGGCTTCCAAAGGTCCTGGATGAAGGGTTCCCCTCCAACTACCTTGCCCAGTGAATGCCAGTTACCGTTATACTGGGGCAAACGGGTTGTTTTCTGAAGGATGGCTCCCCTGCCTTGGCTGCCTGCTATATAGGTAAATGGATCCACTGGGTTGCTTAATTAAGGGAATTTCCAGGCACCCGGGAAGTACCGAGACCCTTTGACGGGAAACTCTCCTGACAGGCTATGTGCCAACCCCCTGCAAAAGGATGGATTTTCTTTGGGAATTCCAAGCCCCCCTTGACCCAAACTCCCCCAAAAGCCCCTTCCTAAGTCATGGACCTCCAAGAAAAAGCCCGGGATAAGCCCGACTATGTCCGTTTAAGCAGGGAAACAGTGAGTTGCCACCCCCCCCTCCCGCCCCCGCCCTGCCCCACGCCCCTTGGCCCGTGCCAAGAAGCAATACCAGCCGTGGTTGCACTCGATGTCCGCGCCTTCCACATGCGCCTCCCAGCGAAACAGTTGGAACAACTCGAAGCCACGTGGCGTTTTTTGGCGGGAAACCGAACGAACGAACACATCCGAACCGGTTTTGGTTAAAAACAAATGCATGAACAACAAACTGCATGCCCCTTCTGGCCCTGCCCTCTTTTTGTTTCTACAAAATGAATGCTCAGAGCTGGGCAGTGGTCATCCGGAATGAATTGGAACTCTAGGGGTTCCAAAAGGGGCTGTTGTCAAACGCGGCAACCCTTTCAAATGCCTGTCAATTGCAGCTGGCCAAATCTAGTGACCCTTCTTTGGGTTTGTGCAAAAGGCTACTACAGTAGATGACCCTTCGGTTGATCAGGCTGATTATCTTGGACTTGCTCGGAGCACCCCGTGAAACTCGGATCAATCCTGTGAAGTGTCAACCCACCAGGAAGCTCAGGAACAAAAGGGGGCAATCGAAGGTAAGGTTTCGATTGAAACGCGGTGAAACATAAAGCCCTTCACCATGTCAACAAGTAAGGGACATTGTCAACGTGTCCTGCGCTTGGAGCACTGTTTTGGGTCTCTCGCTAGGGGGAACCTGCCAAATGCTGGTGATTTGGTAATTATGCCTTTGGCTTTCTACACGCACACACACACACACACACCAGCCATAGATTGAAAAATAACAAGGGCACCTTTTTCCGAGAGTTCGTTGGCCTGGGAGGTCAGATTCAGTCGATTGAGCAGCGCACGAATTGACTTTTGGTCCCAACATGGTTAGAGTCGTTTATATGGCAAATACATTTAACTTACAACGCCGCTGTCAAGCCAGGTAGAAGCCACTAGCCTGTCTTGGGCGTTGACATGGACATTGTTCGCCCTGAGTCGATGCGTGCTCAGAACACCATGACGTGATTTTTGACTAAGCCCCCTGGAAAAAAACAACATCAATTTCCCTTAGTGAAAGATTCCTTTGAAAACCAAGCTGCAAAAATACAAACACATCCTAAGCACATGGGCAAGACGCGGGCGGCCCGATCCTCCTCCCGCCCCCAAATCCCACCCCCCCCGAGGCAAAGGTCACGCCGAGGGGCGCTGCACGGAGAGCCGGTGCTCAAGCCCAGGCAGCGACCGCGGAAGCAGATGCGCTGGCCCGTGACCTTTTCTTCGGACGACGAATCGCCAGGTTGAGTGTGAAAGGTCTCAAGATGGGGCCCAAAATGCTTGGTTTATCTTGGTTGCCCCTTAAAAAAAAAAAAAAAAAAAAAACGCCAACATGGGGTTGACCTATACAGTTGGTCTAAAGTAGGGCGTGTCTCAAGAATGAGGGGGACCAGCAAATATTGGTTTCCTTTTGGTTTCCCTTTCAAACCCCACCAAAATAATGCCCTCCCCCCCAAAAAAAAACACGCCCGGTAGCGGGCGCAATATTGCTTTTACTTACCCGACAAAAAGGGAATCATGCCATATCGTGCCATCATGCTTTTACATTGCTGTACTTCTGGGCATGGATGGGAACATCCCTGCAGTGTTGCTCATATATCCCCCCCCACAGCGGAAAAATGGCAGCCCGGAAGCGGGACACCCAGAGACGACCTCCTCCCTTGAGGTTTCGTCCTATGGCCAAACGAGCCGCCACCAAGCATGTTCGCTGCCGATTTGGGGGCCCCTATCGTTCTGAATGCTGGCAGCTACTTTAGGAAACATTCAGCCCTTCAGCTTGGCCCACAAAGAGTGCTTGGTGATCTAGCAGGGTCCTTTGCCAAGGGTGGATTCCCTTTATCCAGAAGATTCTGGAAATCATTGGACAAACAACCCTCATTATACCTCGAATTGAAGATGTAGAATCATATGCCAGCCTTCTCTTCAATTATCGGCCAAGACACGCACAGGTCATTGGCATCGTTGGCATCACAGGCTTGGTGTGTAAGCAGCGCTCTTCGGCACATCCGCTGCAAACACCTCAAATGAACAAATCAATCGTGTCACTCGAGGGATTGTGGTGTTCAGGGAGAACCAAAAGGCAAACCAACCACTTTGGGAGGTCCCCTTAAAAAAAACATGAAACTTGAAACAGGGTTACCTTTAACACCTCATCAACGAAGGTTTGACTCGCTCAAGTCAAACGTTTCAGACGGAGAGCGACTCCCCGAGGGAGGGGAATAAGCCGCGTGCCTGGCAAAGGGGCCGGCGCAGTCAGCGTCGTAGTAGCACTCAGCTCCTGAACGGAGCTGACGCGGGGGAAATGTAAGAAAATGTTGGAATCCCCCACTAAAAAGAAGACTTCAGCCCCAAGTTGGAAAAATATTTCTGAGGGATGATGTATTGACAACATGTGAGAAGCCCCTAAAGAAGATCCCAGCCTCAAGTTGCAACACCCAGCCCTGGATGCTAGGAGGTCTCACTCCTGGCGGCCGTAGCTCCGGCGGGGAGGCCTGACATCTGCTCTCGCCTGCGATCCGCGGGGTTCCCTTGCCCTTGCCGGTGCGACAAGCAGGGAATGAGTTGGAATGACCCCGAGATAAACCATCCAACTGGTGCTTCCCCAGGTTCCACCCCTCATTCCCCACTTATCGCACCAGCAAGTGCCTCCAGTTACAGTCGGAAGCCAGGTACTTGTAAGGCACCTTTCGTGATACCCGGGGTTTCCCTGGCGGGTATCGTGGGAATTGGAAGCACTGGGCTGGGCATGTTGGCACACATGGTGTTCTTTGCAACTAGTTGCTGTAGGGGACCCACTTTTGGCCGCAAATGCAAGGATGGGAAATGACCCTTGCTTATTGGCCCAAAGAAACATGGCGAAGGACCGATCGATTTGCATAGACCATGTGTGTGCTCTGGAGAGGCTGCTCTACCGGGAAAAAATGGAAAGACCTGACAACACCTTCAGGCATCTTAACTTCTTTCGGGTTGACTCGAGTGCTATCATGTGCTTTCCTGGTTGGGACTCAACCCAGGGCCCAAGTTGGCATTGGGGACAGGAACTCCAACCCCCAACCCCCCCCCCCTCCCCCAGCCCTCCGGTGGGGGAAGGAGGCAGGCCGATCCATCTGGGCCCCGGGCAAGGCGGGTCCGCATGGCAGAACCTCAGATCTGCCAGACTTCGTGGAGTTGCGCCTTTTTTCGGGAAGGAACTCACACACGCACACATGTTGCTCGTGCTTGTCGGGTCCCCCAATTCAATTGAAGACACGGCCTGTTGGCAGAACAAGGGAATTCGTCGTGGATTTGATCGACTTTCTTGTGGGCAACCCCGCTCCCTAAGGGGCAAGACGGGCTATTGGGCCACCAGTCAAACGAGTGCAGTTGCTTGTAGGCTGGAGTAGTGCTAACCCGGACATTTGGCAGACCCCCTGGTTGCTTGATAGGGGTTCCAATTGCGCAAGCCCACCGGAAAAAAGAAGAAACCAAACACATCCAGTAGCGATAGATTCCCTTTGAAACCAACAGCGGAAAATAATGCTTAAGCAAAGTGAAGGTGGGAATCCGGATCACTTTTGGATGGCCGAACGAACAAGAACCAGCGCAACCAAAGCTCCGCTCCAGCGCCCTAAGGTCGACAAAGGCGCGAGCAGTAGGGCGTGGCGGAAGGGCACGTCGAATAGGAGCGGGCGCCCAGGCGTTGTGTCGTGGCTGTTCTCCTTGGCAGCAGAAGCGCTTGCGGTTTCAAGGCTCACTTGAGTCACAATCAAAATCTGGTCTTGACATGTTGTACCCGAACCAATGCAAACAACTAGAAAGGCGGCCGCAACTGATTCGGGTTGGGACATTCCCTTACTGACCTTCACTTACCCGGGTGTTGACTCTGGTTCACTTGCAGTCTCTAGAAATCAATTGAAGTCCCCGGCCACATAGCCAACCACTTCCCTGGGGGGGGGGGGGCGAGGTACCGCTTGGCTGAAACTTGCAAGGAATAGATGTGTGCATCTACCGTCACTTTCTGCGTGGACTGGCCCAACGACGTCATTCCTGGTCAACCCAGCCAGCACCCGCAAGAATTTGCAATCTGACGTGAGCCTTGCTCGGGTTTTCCGGTTGCCCATCCAAAGACTCAGAAGAGTACCGGCTGAACCCAAACGGGGACCACGAAACGCTTACAATGAAGCGAAGTGGTATTCCTGGCTTGAGCGCTGTCAAATCTGCTGATGCAATGGTTGCGTTGTCACAATGGCACAAGCTCCACCAAGACCCACACGTGCAAACAGAAGTAAGGGGTTGGGCTAAAGCAGGTCCGAACTTGTCGTTTTCCACGAGCGTCAACTACGAGTTACTACTTGGTTGCTGTTGACCCCTCTGCAGAAAGTTTAACCATCTGTTTCCCAACAAGTTAAAGCCCAAAGATCCCACCAAATATCCATACAGAATATACTGTGCCTGTCCTCCTGGAAGGCAGTTTGCCTCTGAAACAACTCGGCGGGCTCCATGGCTGAGAGGGTGCCGGGCTCCCTTTGCCTTCCTCAAACATCACCTCACCAAAAGAACTCTAAGGAATTGGCAAGCAAATGGGTGATGTTCAAAGCTCGCCGTCCAAGTGCATGGCCTCTCCTACAAATCAGTTTTTGTTTGACAGCCGGGGCACGTCACCTAAGAAGAATGCTGGTTCGGAGGGTTGGCATGATTCCAAACCTCAAGCGGCTCTAGCGGGACTTTTGGAGGCACCGCTTATGGAGAAAGCTGAAAGCCCGAAAGCGACAGAAAGGAAAAGAAACGGCTGGGGCATTTCGGGCGCTTGCTTTCTGGTTAAGCGGGCTTGTCTCAGAATGGGATTTGGACCCTCCAAACAGGTGAACAGGAACACTCCTTTTGGTTTCCTTTTAAGACCAACCAAAAAGGGAGTTTCCCCAAAAAAGGCACACCCAAGTAAGTTCTGGAAAGTAACTCCAAAACAAGTCGTCAGCCTTCCTCTGGGGAAAGTCGAACAGTCGAACAGGATGTACGCCAAGGCCCCACCTTCCATTTGTTCAAGCCCTGAACAAGTAAAATAGGTCCAGTAGTGATAGATTCCCTGTAGAACCCAAAACGAGGAAAATAGTTGTAAGCTGTAAATACCAACATATATCAACAAATACTGGTTTCCCATGGTTCAAAGTGGTGCGAACGGATTTCGCAACCATCCACAGTATACTAAGGCCGATATAAAATCGGCCGGCCCAAGGCTCTTGTAGCAGATCTGAGGGTTCTGGGTGGAGTCTGGCGGCAAGCAGTTCTGAACCTCGCACTGCAGCTCCTGACTCGAGCAAAGCGCGTCAGGTCATCCAAGACAATGCGACTCACTTCCGACCCAGTGGACTGGCAAACAAAAGGTGACTGAACTTGTTATTTACCACAAAAACTTGGTTGACGTTGGAAGGGGAGCAAAAAAACAAATTTTAGCAGTTAAGTGGTTGGATTGCAACCACTAAACCACAATAAGCAACAATGTAAAATGTTTCCCAACGACAACCATGAAAATGGCCCAGACCCCAAAAGTCTGAAGCCCATGAACTCAGGCAGTGAGTCGAGAAACCCTGGCAGTGCTCGTAAGAACATACAGAAACTACTCAACATCGCCACATGTTCTTTTAGGCCGACCCAAATCGAATCACCTTTCATGGTAGCCTGGAGTACGCAGGGATCACAAACAGACCGTCTGTGAGCCCGGAGAGAGAAAGTCGAAGCTTATCTGAAAAAGGTGGAGGAATGTGGGGGCACTTGAACTGGATTTCGAACAGCTGCAGAGCTGTAACAGACACACGCGCTTGCCCCTTAGGGACCTGGAAATAGACTTGGTTGACGTTGGAAGTGGAGCAACAATTTAAATTTTAGCAGCTAAGTGGGGATTGCCCACTAAACCACAATAAGCAAAAATGTAAAATGTTTCCCAACAACAGCCATGTAAAGGGTGATCGCCTTATGCAATCTTGACTAACTATGGGCCAAAGCTGGAAAGCCAACTGGTGAAAAGGTCGGTTTGGGAAACTGAGGAACAGGGTGTAGCGGACGAGCCATGTTTTTCCAAACCAATCCAAACCACCGATTAATTAATTAGAGGAGGGGAGGTGAACCCTGGGGCTCACGTCATGAATCCTCTTGTGAATGAGGGGAGTGAGCTGCAGAAGTTGTTGTTGACCTCCATGTTGTCTTTGGGATGATGGGTTGTCGCAATTAGCAGGGTTCTCCACTGGATCCCCCGCCCCAATCCTGGGCTGCCGTCTCAACCAACAGCCAGAGCAGCCAACGAAGCTGCTTGCGGCATGACATGCATCCATAGCGAGCTTGGTACTCTGGTTGCTCGAGGTGCGTGATTCCCGACACCTAACGGACTGTATGTTCTGCTCCGCACCTAAACATCGGTGTCATTTCTTGATAGTGCCACTTTGGAGTGGTTTCAAGGGACACCAAAAGGAAACTAACCACTTGTTGGTGACCCGCATTTTCAGAAATACCATATCACCTAAGAACAAGAAACATGCCAAATATACTGAATCCTTTGGCTTTATGGGGGGTTCGGGGGGGTGGGCTGCTTACTTGATTTGGCGGGGGCGGGGCCCTTGCACAAAAAGCGGTACAGGTACTGCTGGAAAGGAAACCACCTGAGGCTTGTCTCAAAGGGACACCTAAATCATTGACTAAAGAAAACATCCCACACCTGGTGAAATCGTAAAGTATCCCACCAAGGCGAACCGGCGGCCCCATAAACATGAGCTAAAGTGCTGATCACGCTCTTGTGCGCGTATCCACGTGTGTCTGTGTGCTCCCCCTTGCCGGACTGAAGCAGCTGACGGAGTTTGGGGAAGCACATGACACTGGCTGACATGGCCGGAGCCAGCTTCCACAACTCACGTGCCCAAAGGAGCAGAGCCATCGCAAGGCTTGGGGAACTGCCACCTGTCGACCTGGATTGATGCACACCCCGTCACTATTTGGGGTCCCCTCCACTAAGTGAAGTGAGGAACCCCTGGTCATCAAGCAGGGAGTATGTTCGTCTTGGGTTCCAGTAGTAGTTTTCAAACCATTGTCAGAATTGGCTCAACTGGGATGAGTTCCCTGATAACTATGGTACATGGTTACTACCTACTTACAAAGTGGCTTGAACATCCACGCGACCAAAGGTGGTTTACATTTGTGTACCACTCCCAACACCTGTGAAACCTACCACTACCAGGAGCATGGTCTTCCGAAAACCTGTGAAACCATGTGAAACCCTCAAACTCAGGCAGCACCTGAGTGACGGATCAACCAGAAATTCAGTGGAAGAGTCAACCACACGAACGCGGCCAATTTTCACGGGAGTAGGGAGTGAGTCAATGGATCAACCAAATGTCCCATGGTCAACCGCCTAGGCTGGAATTAGCACCCCAGCAAAATATATATATATATATGTATATATCTGTTTGCCTGGTTAGTGGAAAACAAAGGGACCCAAAAAAAAACAAAACACAAACAAAACGGGAGCGAATTCTGGTTGGACGCCGCACGGACCGCGGCCCGAGGCCACCACGGTCTTGCAACTTCCGATGCCCGTCTCTGCGAAGCCTGTACAGCCTGGCGCGTCCCAGGTCGAGCCGGGGCCGGGGCCCCCGTTTTCCACCCCGGTTGTTGGGCCCCGTTGTCCACCCCCCAACAGGCCCCAACCTGCATTTTTCGACCTGCTTACCTCGCAAACAAAACGTGGCCCCCGAATGCAAAGGACCCAGACCTCCCCGACCGTCGATCAACCTTCTAGCAAAAGATGGCTCTGAAATGCGACCCGTAAATTCAAACGAGCCGCGGATCATTTCCCAGTGGCCCACCCCTTTTGTATGTTGACTGTTTTAGCAGGGAGCTTCAGCAAAAAGGCATTCAATGGGTGCCACTAAAAAACTGGGGCTTTGCTTTGTTGCAAACATTTTATGTCTTGGCCGGGCAACCGCGTTCATCCGACAAGGCTTCTAACCCTTGCGGAAAAAGAATTACAGACCCTCCAGGTCCCCAGGTGTGCATTTTTCAGCCGCTTGCTGAAAAAACATTTTGTTGTGTCGGTTGTTCCAAAAAGAACCTTTTCCTTTTAAAAGTCCTGCTTCAAATTCCTGCCAGAACGTGGTCGGCAAATGTCGCCTTTTCGTCGGGGAATGTCGCCTTTGGGTCGGGCAAAGTCGCCTTTTCGTTTTCATTATGGTTTTGCAAACCAACAAAATTTGCAAGAATGCGATGAGGCAAACACATGTGTCGCTTGCACCGAAAGGAGCCGTTGGTCCAAACAGCACACAAAATGCATGAGGGCCCAGGTATATAACTATATTATATATATATATACAGTATGTGTCATTACCTTGAACTACTTCCGGAAATCTGGTCAGCTCAAGTCTTTGCGCGGTCATTTCCTATCTCCACCCCAGCTCAGCAGGGCATGGCAACATTAGGGCTCGTCCCCTGGTCTTTCTGGTTGACATGCGGGGCTCGTCCCCCAGGCTTTTCCCAAAATGAACCAAAGGCTGGGCAAAAGAAATAAACAAACTGCACTCGCATGCTCCTGTTCAACTTCGGCCCTCATCCATGGCAGCGACCACAACCCCCAGCCGTGGGAAAACACGGGCACTCTTTTGTCTGGTCGTTGATCTTAAATCGGCTTCCCTCCATTTTGCGGTCTGGAAGTTAGGAGCTAAATTCCCATCTACCCTTTAAATCCAGAGGTTCGTAAACCGCCCATTCAATCCGTCACTTAAGAAAGATTAAAACCTGCGGTCCCCTGGTGGTTTAATTTTGATCCACACTCACCTGATTCTAAGGGATACTCCCCCTCCCGCAACAAGGCTACCAGCATACTCTCAGCTCCTCCCGTCAACCCTGGCGTCGCCCTTTTTGTCGCCCTCAGAGCTCCAGCTTGGACGGCGGCCTGGGCCGAGTCTGTTTCAATGACCTCTTCAAGTACACTTGTATGAACGAATGTGTACCAGCTTCCCTCTAGTTGGTGGCTTGGATTGGTCCGGGGGGGGGTGGAGTGGGGCTTCCCATCTACCCCGAGCAAGAACCAGGTGCCACTGAAATGGCGAAGCTCGAGCAATACCTATGTCTGACCGAAAGTGGCTGGTGAACATACAGCCCCACGGAAGTGTAACCACCAAGAGGTCCGGGCCTCAAGAAAATATCGTCCAAATCTAAGTTCTGCGGTGCACAGGTCGACCATCCCGAAAAATGCCATGGGATTGTACTCCAGGGCCTCCTCTGGAAGGCGCGCAGAGCTATGGTTTGCTACGGCCGCCCTCTGCACTTCAACTTGGACCCCAAAAGTCGTTGGTGGACATCAACGCTGATATCCGCCAGAGGTCACGAAACCCCCCAAGTGAGGTGCTTTGCAAATTGGTCCTTTGGCATCGGACTTGAACCCCTAAAACTCTTGTAGAGGGTTTAGCTGAAACCCGCAAAAGAACAGCTCCAAACCACCGAAGCTCCCAAGCCGCTGATTCTGCGGCTCGCCAAGCGGCTGCTCGAAGAACCCGATGGCCTCCACGAGCTGAAGGTCGGCGAGCGCCAGATGCGGCGCTAACTCCGCCTGCTCCTGGAGAGATTTTGGGTCTGGAGAACATCTTGAAACGCCCAAGACCCATGTCCTTGTAAAACAACGTCCTTCCGCACCTTGTGAGCTAAGGCTTTGAAACAAGAAGTTGCCCACCTGGCCATGGTTCAAAACCGTTTTGGTCCCATTTTGGTCCCGATAGGTGAATTCACCACCCATTTTGGAACCTATTTTAGTGGGGATTGGGATGTTCACTGGGGGGACGGGGTTTTGACCCATGGCCATTTCGGTCATCTCCAAACCAAAACTTTGGCTATTTTGAGTGACTAGATCCTCCAGTAGAGAGGTTAGAATAAGGGTACCAACATTTTTCCGGACATCAATTTTAGTAGGGGAACCTTCCGCAAAAAAAAAGGGGAAAAGGGTACTACTGTAGGTGATCTGGAACTATTCTGGGCAATTATTGCAGGTTGTACTCCCAGGGTGCAATCAGACAATCCTGAGATGTTAGTTATCTTCACAACCCTAGTGATTTAGTGGCGCGGCTTGGCAAAAACAAGTTCAAATTTTGCAGCCCCCCAAAACATGAACAGAACCGTAAACGCAAAACAAAAGAAAAGTAAAATTAAATAAATACTTATTTGTCTCCGCGACAGCTGAAGGTTCTGGGGCCTTTGCCCACACAGGCTCCGGGGTGGTCCCCCAATGGGTATTTGCTGTAGCTCACCTCAAATTTGCCCAAAAGGTGGCGTTTAAGCTGGCCAAAACAACTCGCTAATAAATGGGTTTCCATAAATCTTATGGTTGCTTTTGATGGGCTTCCCCCATTCTTGTGGTGATTTGTTCATGGGTTTCTCCATTTTGGGGGTCCCTGCGCCATTGCAACCAACCCCACCTCTCCCATCCGCCAGCCGCCAGCCCCCCCCCTTCCTCCCCCTCCTCCCCCTCCGCCCCCTGGGAGAGCGTCCTCCCCTAGCACCCCCCGCGCCGCAGCCCGCAGCGCCGACTCCACGCTCCGCGAAGAGAAGTTCTCCACCTTCACGGCCCAAACGGTACAGTGGATGGACGAAATCCTGCACCACCTAAGAAACCTGGAATGATGATCCCCCTGGAAGTACCAACGAACAATGGATTTATACACCATGGCTTCAAGTGGTGCAGGATTTCGTCCATCCACGGTATGGCTCGGCAAAAAAAAGGATTCTGTGTTTGTTTGGGAGCCCCCAGACCTTCAACTGAACAGAAAACCCAAAGCAACAAGAATAAAAACAGCAAAACAAAACAAACAAACACCAAACAACAAACACCAACAACCAAACACCATGTCCTTCAAAAAAAACAAGGGATAAATTTCAACAGAAACACAAACAACAATCAGCAAAACCAACAAACCGCAAAAAGACGCAAACACCCAAAGTGCAAACAACACCCAAAGAGAAACACCAACAACCACAAACCCTCCCCCTCCAAAAACAAAACTCAAAACACAACAAGCAGCAAGAACAAACAACCACAAACCTCCCCCCGAAAAAAAAGGCAAAAAAACCAACAACAAGGGAAACAACAATGGAAACAAGCAAGCAAGCAAGCAAGCAAGCAAGCAAGCAAGCAAGCAAGCAAGCAAGCAAGCAAGCAAGCAAGCAAGCAAGCAAACAGCAAAGCACACACACACAAAGAAGACGTAACAATGTGTTTCTTTTTAAAGCAAACCCACCCAACGAATGCGTAAAACAATTTTCAAAAAAACAAAAAAAAAAAACTTGATCCAATAATAATTTTCGGCCAGAGCCGCCTTGGCGACGCTCCGGGCGTCCGAAGCCTCGAGGAGCTGCACGGAGCCACGGGAGACCAGCAGCGTGCCCAAAGGCCCAGAGATCTGCCTGAGTCGAGGGGTGGGTGGAGGGGTGGGGGGAGGGGGGTGGGGGGGATGGGGTGGGGAGGGGTTGGGGGGGATGGGGTGGGGGGGGGATGGAGTGGGGGGGGGGGATGGGTTGGGGGAGATGGGGTGGGGGGGGGGGGACTGTTGCGGGGGGGGGGGGGGCACCCACTCTTTTCTCTCTTCAACATTAGAAGTTATAATCTTTCACTCTTTCACACAACATATAATCTCTGTTCACATCATACCTCAGAAGCTACCGAAAGGACAGGACAGATTTACAGTTAGTTCTCTCGCCGGGTGGTGGGTGGGTGGGGGGGTGGGGTTCTAAGGGAGGGCAGGGGGTGGGTGGGTGCTGGCTTGGCGAAAACAACAAAAAGGTGGCGGGTGGGGTGGGGGGAGGTGGGGGTTCGGCAAAAACGCACCGGGGGTGGGGGGGGGGGGGGGTTGGTAAAAACTTGCTACAAAGAGGGTCTCATCAAAACATCCTGATTGCGACTTTGCCTCCTGGAGGAGGTTTTTCTCGTCTAAGCTCAAACGGCCATCCCGCTTCACCAGAGATTCATGCGATGTCTGCACAGGGGCCACCCTAGGCAACCTAGAGGTAAGAAACATAGAGGGTAAGAATCCTTCTTCTTTTTGCAAAATGGTCATCTGATAGGCCATTAGGATCAACCAAAGACGGCTTTTTGCGGACAAAATGTTCACCGGGTGATCGATCCTTTCGTGTTTTGTTCTTTTCTTCACAACCCGTGGTACGGGTAGCAAAACACTTTGTTTGTGGCAGCCCCCTCCAAAAATGGAACACCCAAAGAAAGAAAACAACAACAGAACAAACAACACGACAACAGAAAGAACAACCAAAAGAGCCCCAAAATAATCAACACAACCTGATCCAAGAACAGTGCCTTTTTTCCCGGGCGTTCCTTTTGGCCAAGGTGCAGGTCGAGATCGGAGAGCCCAGGCACGGTCTTAGGGCCGGGCTTGGGGAGGCTCAGGGAGAAAAGCCACTGCCCCACCTGGGCTAGACGTTTCTCAGCTTCCGCCTGTTCCCTAAGCCAAAGGGGGGTGGGAGTTTGGTCTTCCAAAGGAAGAAAGAAACCATGAAGGGATTTGGATCCCCCCTATCATAAAAGGGGGGGTGGAGGTCCGGTCCGGGCCCCGATTCCAGCTTTTGGTCCTCCACAACGGAAAATGGGGGGAGAGAATTAAATGGAGATCTTCAAATTTACCCCGCTCCCCCAATTCCACTTTTTAGGAGGGCGGGGCTGGATTTGGATTGGAGCCCCTGCAAAATTTAACTGGAAACCACCCCACTTGTATCTCGCTGGGCTCCAAACCACCAGAGAATCTCACCTTACCCCTAATTAGTGGGTCGGTCTGGACGTTCGAGGGTGGTTTCCCATTTACCCTCTACAAGAACCAGGGCTTCAATTCCCAAACCATCAACCAAGGGCCGCCTGAAGCTTCTGATTGGGTGCTTGTCTTGGGGAGAAGGCGGGGGTTCAGGGTGCCCAGCTGTTCAATGACCCGAACCGTAGAAAAGGGGGACATGGGGGGACCATGTCTTTTGCGGTCCATTGATTCCAGGTTTCGTGAGGGCAGAAAACCAGTGGAGATTGGTTGGGCCGAATCCACTGCACAACCGAGGGGGAAGAGCCTCGGTGCCCATTTGGCTTCAATCAACTCCAGCAAAAGGTTCCCCTCGCAGAGTCATCCCAAAACACATCCATGTGTTTTGAGAAAAACAGTGCTTTTTGAGAACAACCCTGTCAATTTCCATGTTCATCTGCAGGCGAAATTCCTTTGACTTCACCCTGATTCCCAAACACATTCCTGTTCAACATGTGCTATCTGTTCTGATTTGAGCTTCCGCCGAAGGTCATTTGACGTTCGCTAAATATGGGCCCTTGCAGCTAGGTTTCCACGCGGAGTGCCCTGCGCTTCTGCAGACCAAACGCACGAGAGAAAGAAAGAAAGAGAGCGAGAGAGGGACTATCTAAAGACAATATTGTTGGTTAGAAATTCGGGCATTGGGCTTTGCGAGTGTACCTGTGCGTCTTGTTGTTTAGGAGAATGCAACGTAGAGTTATTGCAGTTTTTGGCTATTCCAAGATGGTTGCTCGTCTGTAAAAGGCCCAGCTTGCTAGGCCACAAAAACCCTTGGACCTCGGACGCCGTGCCGAAGGCTGTTTGTAATCAACAACTCACATGGCCCCCCTGACATGCCTCTACTCGCCCCCTGAGCTCAAGGACTTTGAGCTCAATGGGAAAACCATTCTTGTGGCAAGCAACAAGTGCCGTTGCTTCTTCGCCAGACCACTCCAGGAAGTGAGGTTGGCCCTGTTCTTTCGCCACTTGGGCCAAAGAAGTGGGAGACGAACCCCAAGGCCCCCCACGTCCATTGCTCTGAGTCAGCTCTGTGGCCGAGCAGCCGAAGCGTTGGTTCGTAAGGTGGCGGCAAAGGTGTCGAAGGGTCGAAGCCTGAGGCTGTCTGACCATGGAACCGCGGAGAGGTAAGGATACCTTTACGACCCTCGGTAACATGTTTTTGCAGCCCCGAATTAAAATGGACAGACGCTGACCTTTCAGGAAGAAGAAGACAACAAAAACAAACAAACAAACAAACAAACAAACAAACACAGTGAAGGATATCCTGAATCTTTCAGCTTCGCCTTGCTTGGTGGTTAGCATTGGTGGTTTGGTGGTTAGGGGGGGTCCCGCTACAACCGCCAGCGGAACAAACCCAACTAAGGGTTACCTGATACTAATTTGCCTAAACGACCTGGAACCAAAAGGTCATGTGATCACCTTTTCCAAAGCCTTTACTTAAAGGTGGACCAAAAAGGGGCATGCCAAAAACACAGACCTTGTGGCAGTCTCCTCATGTTCCCTTCATGGATCTACCCAAGGTAGCTAGGATCAACAGGTTGTGGTACCCTTGCCAATTTGGGTAGTCTGCCTGCTTTTTTCGAAGGTCCTGGGATGCATAAACCAGTCGAACAGACCTAGTCGATTTGTTTTGAGCAAGTAAGGAATTGGTGGATGGACAACCAGCCCCCCAAACACCTCCAAACCACCCCCTTTTGAGCGGAAGCTGAGAAGGGGGGCGGTGCAATGCAACCAGATTCCTCTCTAGGTCCTCCAGTAGAGAGGTTGGAATAAGGGTACCAACTTTTTTTTTCTTGAGTCTATTATTTTAGTAGCGGAACCCTCCAAAAAGGGTAAAGGGACTACTGGGGGACCTAGCTCTTAGGCAAAATGGTTAAAAAGTCGGGTTCCATGCTCGCTTGCAGGATGAAGGGGTGAACTTCTTGGGGATGTAAAAAATCCTGGCGTGTAGAGGTTGAACCACTTTGGAGCCAACATGGCCTGCCGGGGGCCATACGCGAATTTTAAAAAAGAGGGCCAGAGGGACCACAGGGGACCCACCCTGTACGGTGGGGAGTACTGAAGGAGGTCATCGGCTATTTAGGAAGTGGTTCGAACCTGAGTTACCAGCTGTAAACACAACTCTTGCAAATGACTTTATTTGGTCACAACCAGGTTTACTAACCACCTACTAACTTGGCCAAACTGACGCCACCCGCAAGTTCGGTTATCGTGTTGGTGGTCAAAAGCGAACATGAAGGAAGCCTCAAAGGGCGAGAGGGGGGCAAACGCCGGCCTCCGTAGACTCCTGCAAGTTGCTAAGGTTAGTGTCCTACCTTGCGCAGCTGGAGCGATGCTCCAACTGAAACAGCCCACAAAGGGCAGGCATGGAGCCATTTCTTGTTGTTGCACGGGAGTGTGGTTCTTTGCTCGCCAAGTAACATGCAACGCAAAACCTATCATCTTGCTGGTGCCCAGTGGGAAATGAGGGAATGGTCCCGGCGAATCCCTTGAAGGAAACCAACTCGGCGATGGTGCTTTGGTCAGGGTCGTTCCATTTCTCATTCCCTGTCTATCGCACCAGCAATCTAGGGGGTGATTCCCCATTCTTTTCAACCATCGTTCTTCTCAAAAACCGGCTGTTTCCCCTGGGTTGTTGATGGTTTCCTGAAAAGAAATTCGGATCCCTGGAAGCCCACCCCTGGCTTAAAAGGCATTCTGGAGGAGTACCCAAACAACAACATCGGCAAGAAATGGAAGGCACCTCTAGAAGCAAGTCATGTTTCACTTGGACCCTCCCCCGGTTTTGGGGCCAAATCGCCGCCGAAGGGCTCCGGCCGGAGCCGTTGCGTCGCCGCTGCCACCAGGCGTAGGTCCTCACCCAGCACCAGGCGCAAAGCAGCGGCGAAGTGGACACCCACCTCCGCCAGTCAGTCAGGGATTCAGCGCAGGTTGTGCCGTGGGGTGGGTACATACGTACGTACCTATACCTATACTGGGGAACACCTCCGAAACCAGCCCCTTTTGAGCGGAAGCTGAGAAAAAGGCGGTGCAATGCAACCAGATTCACCTCTAGGTCCTCCAGTAGAGAGGTTAGAATCAGGGTATAGTCTATTTTGGTAGGGGAACCCTCCCCCAAAAAACGTTAAAAGAGCACTACTGGAAAACCTAGAACCTATACCTATACTGGGGGAGGGTTAGGTACTGTCTGGGTATCATGTGATCTCGGTACCATGTGATTCAGTCTGGGCGCCTTGTTGGCAGTTGGTTGAAAGAAGGGGGAACCCCTCTTTTTGCCTTGTTTAAAGCGGGCAAAGAGGCAACAGGTGAAAATGGTAAGTTGGGCAACCTTTGAATATGGAACACCAAATAGGCAAGGGGTGGAAGTTGAGCCTGCACTGCACCTGTGAAACTAGAACTGTAGAACCACCTAAACTTGCCCATAAGTCGGCCTGCGACATAATAGGAATCTTTGGTGTTTCCCCGGAAATGTCACATCAGCTCTTTATGTGTCATGTCTGGCACAAGGGGTCAACCATGCGCTTCCGACATCTTGAGATACTCCAAGCAAAAAATCAACTCCGTAACCAGGGTGACGTCGAATCAAGACATTGCGAAACGCGACAAAATCAGCCAAGAAGAAATCCATAAATCCATTCATCTTGGCTCTCAGAAGTACAGTCAGTACAGTCCGCAAGGTCTGCGAGTTTCGCGAACTGGAAATCACAAATCCGCAAGTTGACCTCGCTCTACCTCCAAATGAGCTGGTTGTACTTAGCGCAGGTGTTGAGTTTCATCTTGGGAGAGCAACGCGGCATATAACAAGTGAGGCGCTAACTCCCTGACTTCTGGCCATCGCTGGTCAATTCCAAACGCTTTGCCGGTCCTGGTGACGTGCTTTATTGCTTCAACAACTCCTTGATTCGCTGCGGGCGTCAGAGCCCCGCCGAGTAAAGTATCATTGGTCAGCCCTTCTTATCCCCAGGTGAGCTCGTTATCTCAATTCGCGAGTGACTTGGCCAAAACATGACAAACTGTTTGTTCCCTATATAGACGCACAGGTGAACAGCATCACCTCACTCCATGTCGAATCAAACTCGAAGGCGGCTGCCACACAAAAAATGTAGTGTGTTATTCAATACCCTCCCCCAGACTATGGAAGCTCCCACAACCCCTTTGGAAGACTGTGTGCAATTTACAGAAGCCTTCTCGGAACTTCCATGTCAGTCTGAGTAAGAGCCCGCTGCCGCGGCCAACCTAGAATTTCAAAGCGTTGTCAACATGCCACTCGGGTGTGTCTTTCGTCAGGGGACCCCCCAACACTGTGGTTTTCCTTTTGGTTTCCCTTTAAAACCACCCTAAAAGAGACCTAAAAAAAAGACACACCCATTTGACCAATACTGTTTGATCATTACCTGAATGGATTGAGAACCATTGCGAAAATCTCAACCAACCTCGGTTGAAGCGAGCTCAGATCCATCCAGGCCGCATCTGCCATCCAGTTGCTGGTCTCTGACATTCGCCAGGACCCAGGCTGCATGTAGGGCACATCCGGCGGCATGAAGCCTCAACTGAGTCACAATCCAAACCCGGTATTGAAATGGTCTACCCAGAACCATGCAAGGAACTAAGAAGGCGGCCGCAGCTATGTATGGTTGGGAGTATCCCGTCCTAACCTTCATCTACCCGGGTTTTGATTGTGGCTCAACGGGCTTTCAGATTGGCGGTTTGGATTTGAAGATCGGGTGGTGGTGTCCCGTTTGCCCTCCACAAGAACCGGCGGCTCAATTCCATATCCAAACCACCAATCCAAACCGCAAGTAAAGGATCATCAGACTGACAAGGCCCGGGCCTCCTGTGACCTGAAGCTTCCGGCAAGCCACTACCATATCATATAGTAACTGGAAACCGTCATGTCAAACCTAGAGGTAAACATGCTACCTACCATAGTGGTGAATGGAACCACTGGGAAAGGTTCGCCCTGGCTTTACAGATGGAACCCTGCTCGATCCGCTTTGATAGTTGCGAGCCCACGAGCCCGGGTGTTCAAGAGCTTGCATTTGCTTAGGCCCGCTGGAAAAAATGAGCAAGTATTTCCAGTAGTGATAGATTCCAACTTGAAAACCAGCAAGGGAACATGGAACAGAAGGGCCCCTCATGAGGGGTGGGGTTTTGAACACTGGGATTTAGTAGCTTTTTGCGTATGCTTCCTTGGTACTTTCAGAAAAACAAACGCGAGAAAACCCAAACAACAAAGCAAAACAAAATGACAACCAAGCAAACCCACAAACATGTCAGACCCTAACTCAGCCAGCATGGATACATGGTCTGAATTTTCCGGTGTTCTTGATGTTTTCGCATTAAAAAAAAAAAAAAAACGAGAAAACACACACACAAAAAAAAACACATAATTTCAGACCCTAACTCAGCCAGCATGGATACATAGGGTCTGATTTGTTCCCCGGCTTTCTCAAAACTTTGGTGCAATTGTGTGGGTTTTAAAAAACCCACCCCCCATGCCATGAGGGGACGCTCTCAAATAAAATATGTTCTTAAGCAAATTTCCCTTTAAAACCATAGCCATAGCAAGGGGGAAAAAAGCATGTTCGCTTCAGCAAGTGTAGAGCCAAGGCGCTCACCGAGTGGGCCGAAAACGCCACCGCGCCTGCTTCACCCAACACCCCCGCATGAACCGCCGCCGCGGCCACGCGGAAGGCGGGCTCGAACCTGCGCAGCCCAAAAATCATCAAAAATCGTGCTCCGAGCCAGCGAGGGAGTCGTCCATTTGCTGAAGTCCTCTGGGAAAGAAAATAAAACGTATGTCCAGTAGCGATAGATTCCAACTTGAAAACCAACAGGGGAAAATAAAGAAACTATGTTTAACCAAATGGAAGGAGTTGGGGCTCTTGTCTTTTGCGCATTGGATGGGTCACGACTCTTGGAGTCTAGTAAACCTACCTACCAGACCCCCCCCCAAAAAAAGTGACATGTCTCGTACTTGGTCAACCTTCAACCAACCAAAGGCTCATTGTATAACGTTGACCCAGGATGAATTAACCCGTCCCATTATTAGGGGGGTGTTCCCTCCAAAAGTGGTCGGAATCCCCCCTAAAAGGGGGCAACAGTACATCTGTTCTGGGCTGCCCTCAGATGAATAACTTTTAGTTGCTTAAATGGAAACTACTACTAAACACTAAAAAGATCTAAAAGGCACCAAGTAATGTGGCGCTTGCATCCATAAAATTCCAGGGACCCAAGAGCTTCCAATTTCGATGGAGGAAAAAGGCACCAACCTTTTGCTCTCGTTTTCGAGAGGTTCAAACCCCCACCACAGGAATGGAACTACATTTATGCACCCAATCAGCCTCCAATTCTCCGCCACGTACCAGCGCCCTCCGTGTGACAAGAGCTCCTCCGCTTCTGCCACGGTGGTGGCGATGGGCTTCTCTGACCTCGGTTCAAGCGGTGTAGAGGTAACATTCCCTGCAAGAAACTTAGATGCCCAGAGGCCATGGGAATAAAAGGGCATCCTTTTTTGGTTGTTTGAGTTTGCAGGGGAACCCTCCCCCAAAAAAGGAGAAGAAAAAAAAGCGCGCCGCTGGGCAACTGGGAAAAGGCTCCATACTTTTATAACTAAAACCAGAAAATGGCGTTGACCATTTCAGAGGATCCACCGTCACCAACTTCAGATTCAACCATGCCAAAAAGAACCCAAAGATACCCGGGATACTTTGAGGTGTTTGTTGCGAGGGCCGTGCAAGACTCACTGGGGGAGGAGAAATCAAAGCTTGGCCTTCCAAGAAAGATGGCAGTGAGCCCTCCAAAACTGAGAATGGGCCAAAACTGGGACAACCAGGTGGACTATTCAGGTCGAACAAGCGTTGGACCACTTAAAAGGAAGAGAACGCCTAGGTCAAAACGTGGTCAATCTGCTGCATGTTGAGCGACCAGTTGCAACCAGCGACCCTGGAAACAAAATAGGACCATGCCTCCTTTGGGCGGCTTGACCCAAGTAACCATTTGACATCACAGTCGCCCAGAGTTGCATGACTAGTAAACCTGGCAGCAACCAACTCCGGTGTCTGACTTTGAGAACTCCCCCTCCAACAACAAGGCAGTCCGATTCGTGGGCTCAGAATAGACAAACACATGTTGCGGGACTGTGGACCTGTGAGAAAATGAGGTCAGGTGACCCTTTGGAAAAAACGGAGGAACACCAATCTGACCGAATCTAAACCAGTGGGATCCATCTATTTCTAACCAAACTAACCTAAAATGGACACCTATGCTCAAAACACTTCCATTTGCTTGTTCGGATTCTGGACAAAATGAGATACAATACTTCCAGTAGTGGAATTTATTCCAGCTTTACAACCAACAAGGGGACACAACAATCGTCTTAAGCAAGTAGAAGGTAACAATCATCATGGGGGTGGGGGGGAGGGGAGGGGGAGGGCGCCAAATAAGCCCTAAATAAGGCCTTATTAAGGGCTTATTTGAGATCCCTCCCCTCCCTCCTCCTCCTCCCTCCCTCCCTCCCCTCCCTCCCTCCCCTCCCTCCCCTCCCTCCCCCCTCCCTCCCTCCCTCCCCTCCCTCCCCTCCCTCCCCTCCTCCCCTCCCTCCCCTCCCTCCCCTCCCTCCCCTCCCTCCCCTCCCTCCCCTCCCTCCCTCCCTCCCCTCCCTCCCCTCCCTCCCCTCCTCCCTCCCTCCCCTCCCTCCCCTCCCTCCCCTCCCTCCCCCCCCCCCAGCCCCCATGAAACCCGAGTCGTCTGCTAAAAAAATTGCACTCCGAGCCACACCACCGCAAATCCCGCCTTCAGGGCCTCTCGGACAAAGCTGCTCTGCACACCCTCGTCTCGCGGCTTCTCAGTTTGGTGCACTTGGGTATGCCTGTGAACCCCTGACTCAAAAACCAATATGTATCATAGAAAACCCAGTTGTTGTTTTTTTGCAAAGACACACTTTAGGTTTTGTAGTGGTCAAAAGAGGTCCTCCAAAAAAACAACAAACCGAAAGGACTATGTGAAAAGGAACGCAGGGGGTCGCTGCACTTCAAGCAAAGGGCGGACCTGGCGATCCATCATGTATAAACGACGATCCATCATGTATAAACCTAAGCTGGAACAACCGCCTTGTGTTTGAACAACCTCGGGAACCCGTACCAATTTGTTTGTTCATGAGAAAAAACAACAGAGAAAGGGTACTAACTCAAAAACACGGTCTTCATTTTAACCCATGAAGCCATACCCAGTGCTGCCAACTAGCACTACAGCAGGAGACCAGGGTTTCTCACCTCTAGGTTTTATCATGCCATATACCTGTTTACCCACTATACAGTGGTCCCTTCCCAATCAACATGGAACCTGATGTTCGGGCCCCGGTCCCTTTAAAAGCAAGATGGTCCAAACCAGCACCCCCCACCCCCCCCTGCCACGTCGAACGTCAGGTTCCATGTGAAAAACGGTGGGGAGGCACCTGGGAAGTCGTGGGATTCCCTGCAAGACCATCGCTTTGGCCAGCGCCCGCCCGCATATCAAAGTGCGAGGGGCGAAGGGCAGGACCAGGTCCAGCAGCTCCAGGTCTTCAGAAAGCAGTGCCCGCCAGCCCTCCTGAGGTGCAACGGCCATTGAAACCGCGGGGGGGGAGGGTTGGGGGAACTTGGAGAATTTCTTGGAGGTTTCTTAGAAGCTGTGCCGGTGTGTTTAGGGCCCCCGCCCCCCAAAGTGATGATTCTATCTTTAGCTACCCTTGTAAGAACCAATCCAAAACATATACTTGCTTACCCCCCAAAAAGAAAATGCACACACCCATACTGCACCCATCTAACTTGAATCCCAAGGTTAGGGAGCTCGATCCCCGAATGGAAATCGACCAAAAGCAACAAAACAAGTGACCACCTTCTCCTTCACAAGCGGCACTTGCAAGCTGAATGAATCCGTTGCTCACCATAGTAGCTATCTTCTTTCCGAATCGCAAAAGAAGCGACATGTCAAAACCATTCAAACACAACAAAACTAGGAATGAAACGACAACTCGCCAAAAACAACAACAACTTGGAACACGAAAGGACCAAAGGAACACATTGCCGTTTGGTGGCGTCAAACTCGGGCCCTGCCTCCCCCCACAGCGCTTTTGCTGGCGGCACGTCTGCCGCCAGTCGCCGTGCTGAAACCTCCGTGTGGCTCCAAACCACCCCGACGGCGAAGCAGTCGCTGGCGTCCCGCAGGGAGGGCAAATGCGCCTGGCGTCTGAGTCGGCTTCACGTGTGAGGCACTTTGTCTATCCCTCTTATTGAGACACTCGATTCTACTTTTCCGTATGGGGAAGGAGCCCTCTATTGAGGCACAATCAAAACCCGGTATTAAAACGGTCGGAATCCCAGAACCATGCTTCAAGAATTAAGAAGGCGGATATCCGCAACTATTTCTGGCTGGGACTGCCCCTGAAAAAACGGGATCATCTACCCGAATCGGTTTTGAGCACGTGGCACTTGGGACTTGGGAACTTTGGATTCATCAACCCCAGTTGGTGAATACTGTGGATGGACGAACTCCTGCAATCTCCTGCACCAATTAAGGAACCATGAGACACTATGGTTTGTTGTTATTTGCAGAATTAACATTTCAGGGTTTCTTAGGTGGTGTGAATTTTGCTCATCCACAGTTGGGTGTGTGTTCTGGGTATAGTGGTGAATCATCACTTTTGGAGGGGAACAGAAAGGCCCCGGAATAATCAACACCAGGTTATGCCAATAGGTGTCCCTGGGATTTGGGGGGAATCATCACTTTTGGGCCGTTAACAGGACAGGTTTATCAATACTCATTCCCGGTCGAGTAGATGGCCCAAAAACAGTAACCACACATGTTGTTTGCCACTAACATGGGTCAACATGACCCCGGAAATGGTTGTGTTGATCCCTTTAGTCCGGCCACCGCAAAATGTGAACCCCAAACAACAAAAACCCACAAGTTGTTTGCCTTGTTTCCCTTCCATGATTCCCTTTATAACCATTCTGGGAAAGTAAGACAGATTCTTAGTCAAATAGGAAGTTGTACTTCAGAACCGCTTGTCCGAGTGCGCATGTTCTTCTCAGCCTAGCGCCCCACCTTCGCAACCCATTGGCAGCAACACACACACACACACAAACAAACAAACAAACAAACAAACAAACAAACAAACAACAAACAAAAACACATGATCCAAGAACAGTGAAGCAGAACAAAACACGCACACGCTCTCCCCTTGGCTTTCGACTAAGCTTAAATGAATCCTGTTCTTTTGTCAGGAAAAAGACACACACACACAAACCAAAAAAACAAAAACAATTTTCCCCTTTTCATTTCGCGTACTCCGCATCCTTAACCCGCGCCTTGCGAGCGAAGCTTCCGGCGCCCACCAGCGCCAGCCGCACTGGGCGCCCACATGGCCGCGACAGCTGCGCTTCCACGTGCCTCGGGGGAAAAAAAATCGCGGGGAAGAAGCTCCTTCTTGGGCCGAAGTGGGGTTATGAAGCCGGAGCCACCGGGAAAATCCACCATCTTAGGGGGATTTTGAAAACACCTTGCCACATGCGCATTCATTGCACTTCTGGCGTAAGCAAGAAGGATGACTTAACCAAAGGAACCTTTGATCATATTCGAGTACTTTGGTCCCCACGTCACCTCTAAACACTCAGGGCTTCTCCATGGCTCCAATTCCAACCTTCGAATCCCGAAGAGAGGGTTGGTCACGAGGCCATGGTTACATTCTCTGTGGCACCTTCAAGGGCAGCCTTCGTTGCCAAGCGATGAATCCCATCATGTACAATCCAAATGCTGACAACTCCAGATTCCTTCAACTCACTTGCCCAAAGGACCTGGAAACAAAGGTTAACCTTTTGCGGCCTTGACTATGGGCCACTGGGAAACCAAAAGATGAAAAGGTCAATGAGGATGGATTTAACTGGGTTACGCGACGAAAAATGTTGACCCCGGATTAAGACACCGTCCTAGTGAAGGGGGTGGTCCCTCCAATCCGGGGGTCCCTTTAACTGAGGGTTTGCCTCTTGCCCCCTTGTTTGGGAAATGGGCGTCTCAAAACATAGCGACCCCCCAACATGCCGGGGGCCTTGGCATTGACCGCCCAGACCACACAGTGCTCAACGAAAACCACACTTAAACACAACAGCCCCGGAATCACTTTTGAGGCATCAGATTTGCTTTGCTTATCTTCCCCAGTGCTTCCATTTACCATGGTAGCCACGTACTTGTACCCGGTTTTACCATGGTTTCCCCCCAAAGTGGCGCAACGCCTGGATGCCTGGAAGCACTGGGTTCCACATTGTGAACTCCTTAAGACTCCTCTACAGCCCATGGGAGCTTCCAATCGAGGGCATTTGGGTGTGTCTTTTTGTTCTGGGCGGGCCCCTTTTCGGGGTTGCTTCAAAGCGAAACCAAAAGGACAACTAAAAGGAAAGCCATCATTTTGGTGGTTACCCTAGAAAAAGGGCCCACACATTTGGGGAGTCAGCGATTAGGTGTGGCGCTTGTTTGCAGCTTCCCTGGCGAAAAGAGATTCCGAGCAGGCAGCGGGCTTAGCGCTCCCCAGTCCCTCTGCATAGCATGGAGAACCTGTCAAATGTTTCTTCCAACTTTGCCTCGCTTTGAGCATGCTTGAACAATCAAGCCCATCCTGGCTTGCTGCTGACCCCCCTGCAAAAAGTTTAGCTTGTGGGTTTAGTGGAAAAAACCCTTGATTTCAACCAAACAGTTAAAGTCTAAAGATCCAAGCCAATAGCAGTCAAGCACCAGGCCCATGGCTTTTGACGCAATGTTTGAGTGGTTGGAGCCCGATCCCACATGGCCGGTGCCAGAACCAAGAAGTGCTCTTCCGAAAACAAGCCGTTGCTTCTTCATGTGGCTATGGGTCAAAACCCAAATCGTACCCCCAGTGAACATCCCAATCCCCACTAAAATAGACTAAGATGGGTGGTGCACCTACCCCAAAATGGTACCACTGGTGTTGACCCACGGCCATGCATGTTTCGGGGAGTAGGTTGCGACCAGAAAAGAGCGCTCTGAAGAAAGTGTACATGTAAACCGGGTGCTCAGGATCTCTGCTTTGAAAATGTGGGTTTGTCTCGAAATAGAGGAACCTGGAAATTGGTTGGTTTCCTTTTCCTTCTCTACAAAAACCAAGGAAACAAGGGTCCGCCGTTTCGAGAACCTCCCATGTCGATTCTTACCAGAAGAATGCTCTGCACGATTGTCAGCAATGAAGTGCCTTCTTAGAACAATCATTCTCACATCCCTGTGTGATTCCACCCTCTGGATGATTCAATTGCAGCACAAACCAACAGCACAACACACTACCCTCACTTGCTAAGATCTAAGTGGCTACCCTCACTTGTCAAAAAGTTACCCTCACTTGCCAAGTCGCTACCCCCATCGAGACTCTTATAGGGGAAACAACTATGCTTCCCTTCTTTAGTGCCCTTTGACTAAAGAAAAAACTCAAAAAGGAGCAAGGGGTGGGCGCCCATGGTGGGGACATGTGGACGCATCTTTCTAAGAGGAAAACTGCCGGCTCCCGGTGCCTTCAGTGAGAGCTGCTGAGTCCAGCAGTCGAGATCACGGGGGCCGCACGGCGCCCCGAGTCCCACGGCCAAACTCAGGAAATGCACCAGGCGTAGCATGGCACAAAGGCGCAGAAAAAAAAAGGAAAAAACAAGTCGTGGTGGTTGTGGGGAACTTGAAAACCAAATCTAGTCATGCTAGTCCTTTTGGGAGGAGTAAACTAAGGGAATTTTGGATAGCTAACTATACCGGGACCTCAGCTGCACTTTGTTCTGCTCTTTCGCGAAAAGGCAGAAACGGTTGCTGCTTCGTCGAAAAAATCGCCGCTTCGTGCAAAAAGTGTCCTGTCATAAACCTGGTCGCACAAAGTCACCCTTTCAATAAACATGCAAAAAGTGCTACGCTTGTCCGAGAAAGCTGCTCTTGTTGAACAGGCAGAGCACGGAACACCTTGGAAGGTCTAGGTAACCAGGGACCCAGACCAGTCCCCAAAAAAACACTCCGAAAGCCGCCCACTAGTTCTCAAACGCACCAAGCTTGACCTCCCGCTCCGGAACAAAACGGTTTGGGAACAAGCACCGGTTTCGGCCTCTATGAAATCGATCTCACGAATTCATGGAGGCCTCGCACACCCTCAGCATTCTGTTCAGGTTCCGGTTGCTGCGTCTGTGAGATTCCCCGCGCCCTGCGCATCTGATGTTGCTCAGAACAAAGGCAGGGTATCGCTTCCTGGAGTCTGCATTGCCCAAAAACAAAACAGGGTCATCGCCCAAAATTTTCAGGGGTGATGACCCCCATCTTTCAAGGGTCACGGAGACTCCAGGTTGGCACATGTTTCCCGTTCTTGAGAGGTCTTCAGTTTCCCGCTGGCAAACCCGGAAGAGAACTCGCCTACGCGACGCAACGAAACCGGCTCTTGTGCAAAAAGAAAGATGTCCCTTCAAAGGTCCGGATCCATCAAACAGGGAGGTCGGGTTCCTCAAAGGATACATCCAAGAAGCACCTGCTTTAAAACGATTGGCATCCTCTGGACCCTCTACATGAGCTGTGATTTTGTGACTAGGCATTCTTTCTGCCTGACAAATCTACCAAAAAACTTCGAGGCATTCTTTCTGGCAAGATCTGCCTGACAGAATCCCCCCAAAAAGCTTCCACTTTCTTGACCCTGGCGATGCCAAGAGATGCTGAGCTGGAGTGCCAAACTCAAATGGCCATGGGCTTTTCAAAACCCATAGCCCCCAAATGACCATGGGTAACTTTCCCCGTTTACTGGAGAATATCATTGTTTTGGGTGGTTTCCCCTCATGGTCATCCCATGTATCACGGACCTTGTGATGGTCATGGACCAATCTTGTACCCCCAGTGAACATCCGATTCAATCCCTTACCCCTTAAACTCCAAGCCCTGGGGAAGTTCATCTTTTACAGACATATAGCCCATGTTACCCCCAAAAAGTTGAAATGTTGTGTTTTTAAGAGGTAAGATCCACTAAAATAGACCAACTAAAATGGGCGGCGAATTCACCGATCCCAACCAAGATGGGATCTCATTGGTTGACAACGGCCAAATGTCATCAGGGGCTCCATAGGAAACCAAGGGAATCCACAGGAAACCATAGGAAACCATGGGAAACCATAGGGAAGCCATAGGAATCCATAGAAAACCAAGGGAATCCACAAAAAACCATAGGAAACCATGGGAAACCATAGGGAAGCCATACCAAAGCACTCTATTTCAGGGGCATTTGCAACGGGATTTAGAGGCATGGAGGCTCCTACACCATACATATAAGAATGCGAGGCAATAGGTCTTATATAAGTGGCACTAGGTCCTCCAGTAGAGAGGATAGAATGAGGGTACCAACTTTTTTCTGTAGTCCATTTTAGTGGGGGAACCCTCCCCCCAAAAAGGGTAAAAGGGCACTACTGGGGGACCTAGAAGGGTATATAACATTATATCACCTCCAAACCTCCAAATCACATGGCTTGTCTTTCAAACATGCCGCCTTGCCCGGCAATCTTTGGTGCGACCAAAGACAACCCTCCCGATCGGGATTGGACATTTGCCGTGAATGGAGGAAACTCTGGGCAACGCGAGCAGCAAGAGGAGAGTCCCCCCATCAACACTCTGATACTTTTCGTTTTCAATAGGTGGGTAAAGACATACAACCAAAAACAGCTGCGGAAACAACATGCTCACAAACCTTGGTATGGTAGTAAAAAACTTGACTTTTGTGCAGCCCGGTAGCCACCTTCTGAAAATGAACAGAACAAAAAAACAACTTAATCCAAAAACAGTGAAGACATACATACTTCGTAGTTCACGGTATGGTTTTGTTTTGTGCCCTAGGATCCTTGTTTTCAGTGAAACTGCCACCTTTCCGAGACCCGGTCTTTTGCCGCCTCGACCATGATTGTTTCGGACCCCCCCCGGGCGGAAGGCTTGACTCCGCCCGCTGGTGTTCCAGTGCCGGCTTCCAGCCGGCGCACAGTTGCCATAGATGCAACCTGCAGCGTGCGACCCTTGTGGTCTGCCATGTCTTTGTCGGCATTGGCTTCCAGCAAGTAGCGGATAATTGGCGCATGGCGCCGACGTGTACCAACTTGCAATGGAGTGACGCCATAGTTGTCTGCTTTGTCTTTGTCAGCCCCGGCTGCCAGCAAGCACTGCGCAACTGCTTCACGACCTTCAGCTGCAGCAATATTCAACGGTGTCCGACCCTTGTTCTCTGCCATGTCCTTGTCAGCACTGGCTTTCAGCAAGTACCGCACAATTGTCGCGCGTCCCTGATGTGCAGCAGCATGCAATGGAGTGGCGCCAACTTTGTTTGTCATATCCTTGTCAGCGCCAAATTCCAGCAAGCAGTGCGCGAGTGCTGCATGGCCGTTATGTGCACCAACATGCAATGGAGTGGCGCCATAGTTGTCTGCCTTGTCTTTGTCAGCCCCAGCTGCCAGCAAGCACTGCGCAATTGCTTCATGACCTTCGCCATGTCCTTGTTAGCACCGGCTTCCAGCAAGTACAGCACAATTGCATCGCGGCCCTGACACGCACCGATATGCAATGGAGTGGCGCCTCTGTTGTTTGCTTTGCGTTTGTCAGCACCCGCTGCCAGCAAGCAATGCACAACTGCCTCATGACCTTGTTCGGCGGACATAATCAACGGTGTGCAACCTTCATTGTCTGCCTTGTCCTTGTCAGCACCAACTTCCGGCAAGAACTGCACATCCGAGTAACCACGTGCCGCAGCAGATTGTAAGGGTCCCCAAGCCACGCTCGTTTCATTGGGATCACGGGGCTGCTCCAGAAGCTGCACGAGTAGCACGCTGCCACTGGAAGCTGCTCGCACCCTTCGCTTTCAGCGGTGTTGGCGTATGGCCGTGCGGTCAGGCACCCGGCATTTTCCCACACACTCTCGGACCCCAGGAGGCACACTGGCCACTGGCCAAGCTGCCAGTTCGGCAACAGCAGCCTGTTGGCCAGGCGCCGGAGCGCATCGAAAAAGCACCCGCTGACTTCCAGCCCCTGCATCTCATCCCACCACGCGGAAAACTCCGCCGTCATCACCTCCGTGCCATCTAACAAACGAACACATGCCATGAAGGAAGCAAATGGTGCTGCTGGTGAGCCGACTGCCTGATGCGCATAATTACTGTGTGTGTGTGTCTGAATGAGCAGCCTTGCATGGATGGACTGGAATTGCTCGACATGGCAATGGCTGCAGTAAGATTGACTTGGCGCTCAAGCTCTTCGCCCGCAGCGGTCGGCAACAACAACAGCAGGCCCCCCTTACAAAAAGCCAGCCTCGATGTCGACGCTCGGCATCATGCACATCACGCACTATCCGTGGACTCCCGGATCGGTGACTAAGGAAATGCTGGAGGGGGGCCCTTTGAAGACCAACCAATCCTTATTGCCATCGTGCCGTCTTTCTTAGAACAAAGGACCTGCAGAATAGATGGTTTCTCTCTGGTTTCCGCTGGACACATCCCAAAAAATGTCCCAACAGTACTTAAAGCTAAGCCTGGCTTCAACCCACTGAACAGAGACTTTTAGCACCATGGCTTTTCTGGGTTAAAACGTCACCCACTCACCTGACGTAGCATGCCTCGTGAAGGGCGTGAGACCATTCACTGAACAACGCCCGCCCGCGCCTCTCTTCGCCTTCGGACTTGGCTCGGGCAGTTTCCGCCTTCACCTCGCAAACACCAAAAAATGTCATGCCGCGCTACGGGGGGCTATGGGGGAGGGTATGCCTGGATAAGCCAAGGACAAGCCAAGGATAAGCCAAGGACAGGCCCTTCAGGCCTTAAGGGGTTAATAATGACTAGCCCCCCCTCCCCACAGCTCCCCTTAGGGGTGCATAACAATGGGAGGCTAAGACCAGCAACCAAGGCCCTTGTTTATTCCAAGTTGGCCAAAAACAAGTCTAAGCTTGTCGCTTGTCACTACAAATTGCCTTTGCCAAGACATCTAAAGTCCAGAGACTTGGGAAGCGAGCGAATGTGTCGAGACAATCCCTTGGGTTCCAATGACACCTCCTGAAACCTACCCCGTACACCCAATACCCACGTTTTCAGGGTATGATGTCGACCCTCTACTAAAAAAGGAGGTATTTACTATGGAAAACCAGGTTTTCCCAAAAATACCTGAAAAAGCGGGTATTTGGAGTAGGGGGTATGAATAAACATGGTTCTAGTTTGTTCTCCGATTTCCGGGAAACTTCTCGTTTAAGGGAGCTGCCAAACTGGGCGCTGGTGATTGTTTAGTTGTTCAGTGACGGTAGTAAAATAATTGCAACCCTTTTTGTGATGGACCATTAGCAAGGATCCCGCCCACCAAACTTAGAAAAAGCTTGTTGCTGGATAGCTTCCCTTTGTGGATTGGCCAAGGAAAGCCTGAGCTTGTTTACCAAAATGGCCTGGGAAGTGACACAACTGGCACCCTAGTGTCCAGCTCACAAGCATTCCTTACAGCACCCTCATGGCAGTGGGCAGTGGACAATCTGGGGGTGTCTTTTTAGGGGGGACCCACAAAATGGGATTTCAACTGTCTCTTGGTTTCCCAGTTAAAGCCACAACCAAAAGGGGTATCTTCAAACAAAAAACACGGCCCCCACAGGCCCAGCACGCCGACATCTGGA